TTCACCGTTTCCTCGTACAGGTAGGCGGCCTTCCTGTACTCGGTCCAGGATGCTGGATTGCCGTCCCAGGATGGGATGTTGTCCTTGCCTTTGGTCACGGTCATGGCTCAGGGGCTACCCCTACAAAACTCACCCTAAAGGAAATCCGATTCGGATGCCCTGGATCTAAGGCTTCGTTGCTCTTTTGGCTTGGAAACCTCACACCTATCTAACGGAGCTAGATGTGAGGCTCCGCTACCATGCAAGTGCACGGTAGCGGCCTCCGTTTTCCTACACTGGAGTGGGGGGGGTCCTTGAGCCCGGAGAGAACCGGGACGAGTTCCTACGGTGTTCGTGAACAGAAATTGCATATATGATCATATATATGATCTAATGATTTGACCTTTGGCTGGTTTTGGATGATTGCCCTCTTGGTCAACTCAATTCCCTACATCAGGGGCAATCAGGGGCTTCGACTGAAGCAGAAATACGTTCTACTCTCACCCACCCCCAAACCCGCTCCGCCCCAAAAAAACACATCAAAGAAACATAAAGAAACATTACAACACGTTGTGTTGTTTTTGAGGACCTGACATTGCATAAAAGGAAAAAAGGACATAAGTGATGTTTACTATCTTATCCATTTTTATCATGACACAGTGGTGAACCGGCTTATGAATATCTGCATGAACACGATACGGGTCGACGACCACTTTGAGCCCGATGCACGCGAAGTGCGTGCGAAGCCGCACGCGAAGACGGCATTTGCGACGCGTGCTAGGAGCTGCTTACGGCACACCCCTTCTAAGTTCAGCATGAGCTAGGGTCAAAAACTGAGTATGGCTTCTATATTGTCTCTCTCTCTCTATATATATATATATATTGGTCAATACTTTGGTCAATATGTCATATATGTCCAAGAGATCTCAGCATATTGTTTCAAATCCTGTCCCTCTGGTTGGTGATGTTCCCTGACGAAAGCAAACTCTAACCTAACACATTCAGGGCCAGTCACAGGGCTCTCACCCCTACGTCGCCTCGAGCGCATGGCCAAAAGAGTTGTTTTTAACAAAACTGATTGCTGGAGGGAGTGTTCCAAGACATTTGAAAACAACATGAGTGTGCATATGTGTGCATTAAAACAGGGAGACGTCCCAGGCAACGACCCCCTGGAAGGTTTCGGAAAACAGACCCACGGCATCCCCTTAGACCCACGGCCTGACTTTGGACGTGTCAGACGTGTAGGTGGGTCAGACGTGTAAACCCCAAGCCATTGGCTTGGTGTGTCCCGCGAGCTTTCGCTCACTCCTCCGCCGATGGTTGAAGCGGCGCACAAAACCAGCGGAGCAACCCGCCGCGGGTTGCGATTGCCGTCCGGTCACGGCCGTGGAAGAAAAGGAGCCTCGATCGATTGTGTGGTCTCACTGACCCTCCAGGATGGTGAGAAATCAGGATCCGGCATCCAAACAGAGGTGTATGTCCATATCTCTTACGAACAACACACATGTGACCCAGAAACAAGAGCAAGAGAAACAGCAGCAACAACAAGGTCCGGGTAGAGGGTTCCAATGCCTACATCCCTTTAACAAAATATATCAGTCACGCAAACTTCTTCGAATGCTTACATCCCCTCAGATTTGAAGAGAAAACAATCAGTCAAGCAAGGTCCTTCGCCTTGCAAACAGGGATCCAACTACCCCGCCAAAGACCTTTAGGCCGTCCCTGTTGTGCAACTCTGCTGAGGATAGGAACTCAAAACTCCAGCATTCCCCGGTAGGCTTCCTAAGTCAAACACGCCATATCTGCCTACATTGGAATGGTTCGGGGGGTCAAGGTATAATAGGCATATATTCCCTACATGGAGTGTCTGGCTAAGTTAGGTAAACCATGGTAAACCTATATATAGCCATATAGCTAAGACATGTTTGGATCAACAGCTATGCCAGATAGGAATCACGCATCAGTTGCATCAGAAATGATCAACATGGACCCTCCCCAACACACACGAGGACTTCAGGCTACTCCCCTGCAGATAGAACCTGTTCAACCACTGAGGGTTCTTCGGAAAAGGGTCCAGTGGGGTCAAACAAGGGCTTTGGAGGGAACGTCGGCATCCCCACGTATCACATATCACACTCTCTGCACTGAAAAATTCGAGACCCCCTTGAAGCACATTGGCTTCCCGTGTGGAAACCCGGACGGTTTGGGCCAATCCGCTGCGCCGGTCGAGTTCTCGGCATTGGCTGGACGTGGTTTCTCGAGTTCGAAGGGTGGGGCGCTCGTTCGAACTCTCTGGTGGCATTCTCGGGTGGTTCAAAGTTCTTGGTATGTCAGCTCTGTGAGGGGCGAACTTCCCGCCACGGAGAGCTCCGTTTCCACCAAAAAGATGCAGCTTGTGGAGCGAAGGTTGGGTTCCGAACTTGCAGTAATGTGGTTTCCTGCAGCCACGAGCTAGTGACTATCAGGAGTCCACGTTTGTTTTGGGTCTACGGTTGGTTGGAATCTCTTCAATAGAACCCTGCTTGGATAGATCAGGGATACATCTGGGCACAGCGGTTTTAGGAAAGGCTAAAGTGTCGACAACATCGACTCTCAAGGGTCTTTGATGGCGAGCAAAACAGGAACTGAACTGGTTTGTGGGTGGGGCCTTCTCTTGGTGAGTGGGGCATGTAATGTAGACTGTAGACTCTTGATCAATTAAACCCCCCATTTGGATGCGCGAACTTGCGGAAAAAAATTCGACGCGCGCCCACGAACCCCCTTCCTCCGATGTTCGAAACCCCCCAGTTGGATTGAAAAAATCTCTTCATAGTCCGGGGAATTGATTCAAAGAGTCTACATGACAGGGCTACCACACACCGGTAAGAAGTAACGCATCCGACGTGGCTTTTCGGAGGCCGCTGGATGTGGCGGGGGGCAAAACCGTCAAGGGCGTGTCCAACGGTCGATTCCTCTAGGGCAACCTCAGGCGCCGTCGGGTTTCGTACCGTGAACATTCCCGAAAGGGCAACGAAAGAGGGCACCCGCCACGCGAACCACGCCCAAGGTCCATCGCCACAAGTAAAGAGAGACCATACCTTGTGGACTCCTGTGGTCGAACATCTAGTCGTGCAAGCACCCCAGGTGCATCTGGAAATCGGAGATCCCGGAGATCCCCAAATTGAGGGTCCAAACCTTAGGAAGTCTACATGGCCTTTTGACCAAAGTGACTGACCTAGCTTAGCCACTAAAAGTATCATTCGTCACTGGCAAGGTCCTGGGGGGTTGTGTGACCAAGAAGGCGCTCCTCTTGAGAAATATCAATTCTTGGATACGAAGCCATGATCCTTTCGAGGACCAACAGGAGTGTGGATATCTGCACCCTCAGCAAGGCGTTGGAACTCATCAACCAGCACCTCCTAAGCTTGGAATGGTTATTAGATGGAACACACATGTGGTCACCGGAGGGCGTAAACCGAACCACCCGAACCAGGTGGTGCTGAAATGTTCTTCTCGAAGACATGCATCCGCATTCCAGTCCATGTGAACTACTGTCGCAGTGGATAAGAAAGGACTTGTCCGAGATCAAACGTGCGGCCTGGTTGGAGGGTCTGGGTCCGGTGACAGGAGGGTCCTGGAGCCTTGCGCTGTCCTTTTTTCTGGTCGGATCATGGAATTTGGACCTTCTCAACCATCGGACTCTCTTATGGAGGTGTTTGACCTTACCCAATTTGGAACCCAACCGAACCAAAACCGCTTGCTTCGGGTCCATCATTCAAAAAAGGCGTCCAATCTTGGCAGTTGGCGTCAGAAAATCCTCAGACACATTGGAGGTCTCCGGTTGGAAAGTCGGTTCTTTGTAGCAAAACTTAGAGAGGGAGAAGGTCACAGCACACAGATGCGAGCGAGGGGATGAGTTGGGGGCAAGCTGCTGGCGCTCCTGGGGGTCGTCCAGAACACTCACCTCACTGAATGAGTCTACCTTCTGACGAAGACTTCACATGAAAGTGGAACATGGTCCCTTGGAAGACTACTTTCCTTTACGAACAACAAGTTTGCCACTTCCATGTTAGTGAGTGGGAGTGTAAATACAGTATATGCATAAATGTATAAACTCGTAAAACAAACACCCCAACTTGGAACTCCTGGTTCCATGTTTACTCTTCATGTTTGTCCTCCACAAAGAAACCAAGTTGTAGATCACACCCCAGACCATCCTGGACCACAAATGCAGGTCAAAATATGATAGTGTCATGAGTTCAACCCACTTTAACGTGACGAACGTGCGGGCTTCAACCCAGTTTGGTTCTGCTCTTTCGTGGGACTGTGGATTGCGCTCGTCGGAGGGATGTGGTCGTTCGTGCCCAGGCAGCGAAGTGCCCATGATCCACTCACATAGACCGCCTAAAGAGCGCCCCAAAAGCACCCCGCATGGAGCTCCTGGTATGGAATGGAAGCTATTTTTTGAGCCGTGATCCGGTTTTTGAACCTGCTTCGGCAGCCGAACGCGGCAACATCCCATGTTCCAAGCTCTAAAATATCCATGCGATCCCATGCGATTCAGCAGGAAAGTCACTCCGTCCCATCCCATCTCTGCCAGGAAATCGCTGCGGAATAGAGAACTCCAAGACCCCAAGTCCCAAACAGGGTGCGTTCTGAACACATCTGGAATCCCTAAGAACAAGAAGCTACTAGTAACAAGGGCATCGCTACTAGCAAGCGCGCTACTAGGCGGGTTCCTGGCCTTACCACTAGTGACAAGGACGCTACTAGGAACAAATGGCATCGCTACGAACGGAGCAATTCAGTATAGATCCAAAGCCGACTCGACAGTTTCAGGAGAGTCCGTAGATCACAAGCGCCATGGTAGATCTGGCATCACCTTCTCGCTCCCGACTTGGTGGCTGGAACGAAGATTGGCGATGCAAATACTGATTGTCGAGCTCTTGTTGTATTTTGGTTGCTGGAAACAAAGAAAAAGACCAGTGAGGTTTCAGCCACCAGTCCCGTTCTACAACCTCTGAGAGCCCCTGAACTTGCTCTCAGAAGGGTCTGAACATCATATTCACAGGGTGTGGCTCATCCTCAGCTCTCAGACATCGGGGCGTGGTGGGCATCGGCGTCGTTTCGAGGTGGGAGGAACGACATTTGGCCACGAAGAGAAGATCAAAATGCCTAGTAGCTTCTTGCTACTAGTAGCGATGGCCTCCAACCTGCTTGGGATGGCCTCCACCGAGCATAGCGTCCTTGTTACTGGGAGTTTCATGCAGTTTCTATTCATGACTTGTTAGGGTGATAGACGGATGCAACATGGTGTGGATTTGTGGTGGATTTGTTTCGTCCTCTCCGAAAGGGAACCTGTCTAAGTGTGTACTGTATAGAGAGATATATATATATAGAAATGACTGCAACCTGAGCTTTCACCAAGTCCCCTTTTGGTCCTTTTGGTTGACTCACTTCCACTGTTCCAAACCCAGAGTGTCTAACCTTGGTGGATGATATGCTGGTAGCAGGACTCCCAATCCAGCCACACATAATGGTGAACAAGGACTAAGGAACGCCGTCTAAAACACAAGAATAAACACACCAACAAGATCCAAAAGGAATCCAAAGCAAAGCAAAACACAAAGGACCTCGGTTGTTTCCATGGCACATAGGACCTCGCTTGTGGCTCAGAACAGGCCTCCCCTTTGGCACTTTGGTAAGGTACCCGGTGCGAGGGGGGTTGATACCAGGTCGATGTGGAAAACATCCTTTGGGGCCGGACCCGAATCCTGACTGGAGGGGTCTGGGGTTTCTCACCAATCCTTAGGTTTTGAGGACCAGGAAAGGGCTGTAAAGGGAGCGTCTGGGTGGTTTAGGGTTTAGGGTTCAGAGGGGTCCGTGACACATCTGGGCCCCCAAGTTCGTTGATGGGTGCCATCTACTCTCAAACTACTGTAGGTTATTAAATCAATGTCTGGTTCATGACCGGAGGTATCCCCTCTATGACTTCAAGCAACAACAAAAACCTGGGATGCCCGGTCAACCATTGGTTCAATGGTCTGAATCCCAAACAACCTTGGTTTACTGATTTTACACTACAAAACCCGGTGGTTCCCATTCTTTCAACTTTGTTCAGGCTGATCCGTTTCCGGGTCTGTCCTGGACAGTCACCTCGCCTGGTGTGCTGAGACACGGCCGCTGGCCGCTGGAGGTGTCTTGTTGGGGCCCATCATGGCCCTATCTCTTGTCCGATGAGTTGGATTTGCTTCGCAAACAGTCGGACATCGGACAAGTAGGTCCAGTTGGGTGACCACTGTAAGTCACCAGTGGGGAACCAGTTCGACGAACATTCCCAGTCGACCGAATTTCAGTAGATGGACGACATATTCAAACCCCGGAGTTTAGGAGTCAAGGTGGTTTGGAAGGTTTGAATATTTGGTCCATCATCTACGGTCGAAATCCTGGATGAATCCAAACCAACATCCTCCGTGGTTTGTCGGCGCTTCGACGCCCCCCCCGGTTTTTTCGGATCCCTCAGCGCGTTCCTCACCATCCTGCCCCCCAGATGTTCATAACCTCAAACATGTCGAAAAGAGAATGCTGCAAAATCCGTCGCACCCATTTTTGTGGACCATCACTGAGTTGTTTGGATCCTGATGTCAAAAAAGTGATGGTTCTTCGCAAAAATAAGTCCAACTGGTTAATGGTTTCAACTGAACCTTATAGTCAGTTGCTTCAATCATCGTTGAACATCTGTCTCCAAAAACCAGTCCGGTCCCACCACCCTCTTCCTTTCACCCGGTGGACCACACCAGGGTTCTGGATGTGGTGAGCATTCGAAGGTCCGTACATTCAGGTCCTGCAGGCGCACCGTCCGCGCCTGGCAGTGGTGCGGAGGGTGGTGGGACCAGATGGGACGGTCGGTGGACGGTGCGGAGGGTGGGAAACACCGAGGATCATGTCGTGGTTCCTCCTCGAAGTGTCGTGGTTGCGAGGTCGGTATCAAGTGTCCCAGGTACTGAAGCCATTGATCTACAGTGGATTAGTAGATGGCACAGAAATTCAAGAGGATCCAAGAGGTAGGGCTCACATGGACCCCCATTTGTCTAGTCGGACATGATGGGGTCTGTGCCATCTACTGTGAATTCCACTGCAAAAACGGTGAGTCATCTGGTGCTTCTCCAACCGCTTCATGATCCGATCTGGTCCACCCAAAGATGACGATGGCTCTCCAGAGCAGACGCCAGAGCCTCGTCCTCCTTCGGCTCCATCGTGCGACAGCGACTTCAGCGACAAAACACGTCGACCCGTGAAAAAAGCTGCACGACTGCGTGTCAAATAAGTGGAACCTAGCGGACCGTCTGCATATACAAACATACTATAGATCAGACATGACAAATATTTGTGGGACTGAAGCACGGCAGCGATATGACTTTCACACACCTTCGATGAGAGGCCCACAACCCATCGCATGGACACCAGTGGAGCACATCGCGCATCCTCTGCGATGCAATACAGTGGTTTCAGAGTAGATCGGACAAACCTCTAGATGTCATTTAGATGGGGGTCCATATTAAAAAATATATATATAACTGACAACCTTTTGGGGATTGTGCCATCTACCTGAAACCACTGAATTTGCCCAGTGGCCTTACAGACCCCAGAAGTAGGTGCTCACAATGCACCTCTACACGGCGCCCTTGTAGGGCATCGTTGAACGAGGGCATCGATGCACCACCGATTGTCAACGCCCTGCAGTCTTCGGATGAGGTAGCCCATCCACCGAGCCCTTCACGACCCTTGGGGGAGCCATTCCGACGGCCAATTCGACACGGCCCTTCGACACATCTACCCGACTCGCTAGGCTGGAGATACCGGAACCTGATGGACTCATGTATCGGACCTGGACCTATCGGCACGGTACCAAACGGTCCACATTACCGTCCGCAACAACACTAGACCGAGAACACAGGCATTACCACTGGCTAACTTATGCTGAAGTATCCAAGCAAATTGCCCGGTGGCCTCCACAAACCGTCCGATTTGCTATTCGAGATGTACATTGTGTGGTCTTTAAATGCCTTTAAAGCACCCGGTCGCCATCCGTTCGACAATTTTAAAAATGGGAACGACATGGAATGACCCGGTTTTGTAGTGTAAAATCCTGAATAAATGGTTGTTCGGCATTCAGGCTATTACATCAATATATGAACCAATGGTGGCTCGTCTGCCAAGGCAGTCTGGATGTATGCAAACCTTGCTAACCCCACCAATCTGGCACCTCTACCTGCAAATACGGGTGTCACTTGATAGGAACGTGCAATATCCTTTGTGAATCATACCGGCGTCGATTTGCCAATTTAACCCCCTCATGGGAAAGGCTACGAACTAGGGGGTCTCCCTATTTCACATACCATAGTAATAGTAATATATTTAGGACTCCCGCGTTCCATCGGCCTGAGAGGGAGTGATACTGCACACTGCACCCAAATTCCCGCACACGTCGCAGTAGTTCCTGAGAAGACGAGGGTTCCGATCATCGTTTCGCGGGTTCTGATGGGCTTTTGAAATCCATCTCGTGGACAAAAAATCCAAAACGTCATCTATAGACTATAGACTGCAACGTCACACATCTCAAAGGGCCGGTGTGTAGTTCTGAAACGCACCATTCCACCTAATCTATAATAGGTCAAGTAGTTCAACCATGGCTTAAGCCCGGGCGCGTAGGCCTGCTGCTTCAACTAGTTTTTGACATGTTTAAAGGTGTCTGCTGTGCTTTGTAGTGTGTGAACTATGTGAATGCTGTTGATGCCTTCCTCTACTAGTTGTTGTGTGTAACGAAAGTGATCTGTATGCACTTTGCTTACTTTGCTGTTCCTTCTCGTGTAGCAAAGCTACCGACCAGTGAGTCCGTCTGTACGATGTGTACAGACTGGTGACCAAGCAGGCTCTCCTCCAGTAGGATTCACTGCTGCTGTGTAGGCTCTCCTCGTCATCTCCGGAGTCCAGCGAACTCTCTCTGCACTGCTTTCCGCCACAGCTTAGCTTGTGTCCTGCAAATCGCGGCTGCCAAGTAAGTAGATGATGATGAAACCATATCCAACCGATCAATGGGCTTCCTGCCCAATCAGCATCCACCTAGACATCAACGTCTATAGTAGCTTGTGTCCTGGGGTCAGCTGGACTGTTGGTCGTAGGTGGAACTCGTCATTTGTAGTGCTTTTCAGGTTGTTGAAAACGTTCTTAGGCTTCTTAGGCGTGTGCTATGTCTATTGTGTATGTCGGGAGTCGGGTGAAGCCCTTCAAGCCCTTGTGTCACTTTATCACGACCCTTCTGTATGCCTTGTGTTCGTCTTTTCCTTCTCCTTTCCCTTTGCTGTAGTTTCCAATGTCCAAAGGCTGTGGTGCTTTGGTAGTTGGAATTCTTCGATGCTCGTCCTGTCTGCTGTAGTGCTGTCGCTCTGTATGTTTGTTGTCGCTATATGCATGATTCAATCCCATTGCATTCCCCTGTCGGGTTCCTCCTGACTGCTGTAGCTACTGCTCAGTGCACATGCTCAGAAGTATGTCGTGTACATGTAGACCGTTTGCGATTTGTAGGAATTGTGTGGAATCTTCCGGGTTGTCAGCTGCCAGTGCCAGTTCTTCATCTGTCATTGGCCCTGTAGACTGTAGACTCTTCGGCTGCTCTCAGCAGTCTACTGTAGTCTGCGTGTTCGTCGTAGGCTCATGTATGCTTTTAAGCGTGTCCGTCGTAGGCCGGCCGTGCTGGTTTGCAGCTGTGGATTTGCTGAGCAATCGTTTCCTTCTGCTGAGGCAGCAGTTGGTCCTGTGCGGAATGCTGTAGCTGGTGCTGTAGCCATGTGCTCTTCTCACCTTGAGTGCTCCTTCTGTTTGCAGCTTCAGTGACTAGTGGCCACTTTGGCTGTATACTGGAGTTGCGTAGTAGCGGTGTGAGCTTGCTAGGGGCCAAAGCTCTGCTGCCACGCTCAAGTGGAGCGACTGTCGGTAGTGTTGTTTGTGAACCTCTGCAGTTTCCTTGCCAACCTGTGAGTGTAGTCTCAGCAAAACAAGCAGTATTTCGCTGCATATAGGGCAGTTTGAGTGGTATACAGCTCAAGGCCTGGTAGGCCATTAGTGTACAGGCACATGGATTTCAACATCGTTTACTACGACATGTAAGGAATCCCAACATATAAAAGGTTCAGTCACAAAGTCTGCCTCTCCAGTACAACAACGACTCTGAAAGTCGGAAGCTGTGGTGGCGACTAGTCCCACACTACACGGGGGGCACTTGCTGAATCTGACAAGGGAGGGTGGAAAGCGAGGTTCAAACATGAGCATCACCAGCCACCAGCAAGTTGAGAGTTGGTTGTAAGGAAACACCTGGGCATAGGTATATAGCTAAGGGAGCTCAGTGTGTATAGTTGTTGTTGCACACAGGATGCACCATTGATAGTTTGAACCACCATGGCAAAACAAAAAAACACATAACTTGTCATGACCATTTACCAGCCATCATTAACTGTCCTGCTGTGTCAGTCATCTATCCATCGTGATGGCATGGCATTGTCCTGTCGTGATTGCATTAGAAGGGTCACCAACCACTCCGAAATTGGAATTCAATTCTGTTGCCATTGAGGGGGGGTTACTGCATCGCTGTTGTATTGGGCATTGAATCTTTGATCGAAACCCATGGGCAGGAAAACTGTGGTTTATTTCGTGTTCTGCCCAACCTGAAGACAATGACCAACAAACCCTGCCCCTCCGCTTTTAGAAACACAGAGTCCCTATCACTTGAATGTGTTTCCATTGCATTGAATAGCACAGGTCACATGTTCTATATGAGTCATAGACCAAACATGACTAAACATCCCCCAACTTAATTTTCATGTGGACAAAATTGCCCCATCAAACTCATGCGACGATGACCTCATAGTGCACTTTTGGTTTTAAAAGGAGACCACCGATGACCACCTCGAAGTGTCCCGTCGAAGTGTCGCTGGTCAGTTCCAACCGATCGGATCGAGAGAAGATCGAGAGAAGATCGGATCATCCCAGTGGCGGCGCTGAGAAGATCGTGAGGCAACGGTTCATGTGCTGCCACTCGTAGCCCTGGCACTTCTTCGGTCCGCCGAGAACGACGAAGGACGAGGCGCAGGTGGTGAGGTCTACGGTCTCGGACGGTCTGGGAGTAATGTCTGTCACCAAATTGGTGGTACAGACTGGAGGTGGTTTAGAATGGAAGGAGTTTTTCTCATCTCAAAAAATATCCAATTAAAAGAAACATGCAAACAAACAATGCACATTAAAACCTAAATGAAGAAATATGCGAAACTATGCAAGACCTTCACTCTCTCGCTTTGATACTTTTCAAGATGAGTCTTGTACTGCTGAGGTGGTGCCTGGACTTTGGATTGACCCAAATCCACCGGCTGCGCTCTGTTGCGTTTTCGCTCTGTTGTGGTCAGCTGTTAGGCACGAGGTTTGGCACGTGTGTACGGTGTGCCCTCGTCCTGTTGAGACTAGATCTTTCGTGACCCACCGCAAGTTCACCGTAAATCCACCTGTATCTCAATCAGACAAATCACATACATTTATCTTTATCATTGAGAGAGTCTGTTTTAACATGGTTTGAAATGAAATGAAATGAAATAAACATGGTTGTTATGTTTTTCTAGTGGTCCAACCCCTAATGATCTAACCCCTACTGATCTAACCCACCATTTAGTATCAATGAGTCTGGGGCCTTGGGGTCTTCCTGAGAGATGTCAACACAAATGATCAAACAAAGGTGAAACAAACAGAGGGAACCAGAAACAATGTGTGGACCATGAATCATAAAACTTAGCTGAGCTCATCCCCACCAAGCCAATGTGCAGTTCATCTGGTATGTTTTCATACCATATTATATAGATCTTCTAACTGTGCAACCTGTCTGCCTTTTCATCTGTAGATTACCAAAATAAAACCAACCCAAACCCAGGCCTTCCATGGGACTGCCATATTTGCCGATCAGGCCAGGGGTGGTGAGTGGCTGGGGGTCTCTCTAGGGCGGAATCTCTTCCAATCCCAGACAGGTCGTGTCTGGACTTGGAAGATCCTGCTCTTGACACCTGGGGAGAGACCCCAGGTCTCGACTCCACGAATTCCACCGGAGTCGAAGCTTTTTCCACACGGACCGGCAGTCATCGACTCGATTTTTCATGTGACCCGGGGCAGGCCTCGAAGGTCGATGGGACCGATAGACAACGATTTGGAGGTGTTTGGAGGTGATTTTGTTGATTGATGTGAGACTTGAATGGACAAATGTCACACGGAACATCCTGAAGGTGATCTTGGATTTTGGCACCGAATTGAAAGACTCCTACTCTTCGCGAACCACCCCAGAGAAGCGAAGCAACACAGCAAGATTTGCTACGACGGAACAAACAAGAGACGCTACAAAAGGAGCACGACGCATTGCACCTGACGCGGGATGATTCTAGATAGAGCCTGATCCTGACCTCTTTTTTCGACCACCACCACCCAAAATATGGTCGTGTCCAATCAAAAGAGAGGTCAATGTTTGGGCCCCAGGTACAAAATATAAATTCCTTTTCATGTTCTCCCCTATATCCCGCCATTCCCCAAGCAACGAAACCCACCACCCAGCCGAACCCGCTACAGTAGCACCTTCCAACCCTGGCCAACCGGCCAATTCACCCGCCTGACTCGCTGTCACAGAGCGGACGACCAGTCCCTTTGGTCCGGCCTCGGACTTCATTTCGTGCGAGCGGATGATACAGCAAAGGCCGTTCTCCTCACAGAAGCCTCAGCGGTCGGTCCCCCCATGCAGCGAGGTCCCGCGCTGCGACCGACAGAGTGTGACGGGAGCGTGTCGATCGGCGCCCGCTGCGACGGACAGGTCAAAAACCGGCAGGGCCTCGTTGGAGCCCCGGGTGACCAGTTTGTTCGACCCAGAAATACCTGTCAAACACACGTCCAATACAACGTCTTTTGCCCATCCTATGCCTATATACGTCTTTCCCGTCCAACACACATCTTTCTTCCTCCACTAGCGCTAGCAACTTACGAAGCTGAAGAATCCGTGGGACATGTTAGCAGATCTATCCGGAGAGTGACTTCACATCACTGCCTTCGGTCACAGTGCGTTGGACCGGATCCGTCGGAGATCCGCGACGCTTCGGCGACGTTTCGGCGGATTTCGGCGAAACGGCACGGTCGACCGAATCGCTGGGTGAAAACACATGCGCTACAACAATTGTTCAATGAAGTGCCAGGTCTGTCAGGTATAATACATTCTGATGTAGTCATCTTATATCACCAAATATGGATCGATCCCACAGGGCTTGTGGAAGGTAGGGGGGATAGCCTGATCAAAATCCACCTACATCCGCCCCATCTCGGAAAGAATACGTCTGCATGGGAAACAAGAATCTCGGTGATCAAGATGAGCTCCCGAATCGAAGTACAGAATCCCTTGGTGCTCGTGCCATTAGGACTGTTGTTGGACGAGGTGTTCTTACTGGATGATGGCCTAGTACTCATAGCTTGTGAGCACACAGGTGTTCAATCTTTGACCATTCACGCCATGTGGGGGAAGACATTCACGCCATCAGGGCGATCCTTTGATCGATGTGTCATCGATTAGCCGCCAAAGAGTAGTGATTGAGATTATCAAAATCCAAAGATGGCTTGATAAATATCACCATGTGTTTCATGTCGTTTCTGCAAACATCCAAGTCGACTTTGGAGTCCTAGAAAAAGGATCTATTCATACTTACCCTACAAGTCCAAATACCCAGTAAACCCTGGTCTTTTACCTCCTCAAGTATTGGTTTTGTATGACCATCTCCAGTAAAATGAGGTCTTTGACTTGTAGGGTTCTCTTCCAACATCGCCAAATCAATCACGACAGCTTCTTCTCTCAGAAACCCCCCACCCCCCCTCCGAGACCCTACCGACCCTGCGCTCGCTGCTCCTGCTGTCTGGGCGGCGCTTGGTGACGTCGGGGCCGAAGAGGATGCCGCCGCCCCGGGGCGAGGTGCAGAAGCCCGGAGAGTCCATTGGATCGGACCACAGGAGGTCCTGCAGGCCGAGGCGATGCGAGGCGCCTGCCTGCCGCAAGGCACGGTGAGTGAGGGGTGAGTATGGTGAAGGTGGGAAGAAGAGGGTCAAGGAGAGGGTGACCAAAGCAGGGGAGGGTTTTCAGGGGTGTTGAGGGATCAAAAACGTCGTCACTATGAGGCAATGTCTTTCGAAGACAATGTAAAAATCAAAAAATTGTAACAATAGATCAGACCCTGGGGAAATAGACCAATAGATCAGCCCCTTTCTATGTAAAAAAACAAACCAGTTTGTGGTCAGACTCAGTCAGACCTGGATCCAACCAAGTTCAAACTGGGCGGGTTGGATGAAAAAACGGAGTCTGCCCAAATACGACCTGGCTGGGTTGCCAGCATGGTATAGGAAAGAGATTTGGCGGTCCTTACCACAGAGTGATTGGAAGAGGGCTAATATATAACTGTCAAGTCTATAGCAGTACAGAAGTGTGTATTGCACAGTGTTGTTCTTTTCGCGGGTTTTGTAAAGTTGCCACGTTGTACGTGTTAATGAAGACAGTTGGAAGGGTTCAGCGGGTTATAAGTGTTAAAAAGGAGTTAACAAGTATGTATAGTTGTCTAAGAGGATTCCCCAAACCCCCAGCCCCGAGCAAGCATATAATACATGTTTGTCAACATGATTCTTTCTCTCTGACTGCGGGCAAGGTTAGGCCATGTGAGTTCTTCTCACTGCTGGGTTTGCAAGGTGTTTTCCCAAGTCGACCTCATCCTTAATCCCCCATTCCACATTAGATTCCGAACCTCTTTCCACCAAAAAAACATTCCCAAACTCATTACACATCCCCATTCCTTGTCCAAACAAAAATAACACAACTCATTTAGACAAACTTAATTACAGTAAACACATAAACAAAAACTTGCTGTTAAACAAAATAGATAATAATAGAAAAACAAAAAAATAACGACAACAGCAACAACCACCACCACCGCCACAACAACAACACCCCATCTCCAGCATCAGCTGCTCAGCTGTCTCATCGGGCTCCCGTAGACGGTTCACCCGTGCCAGGTCACTCAACTTCACACCCTCCTGGCACGTCCGCTTCGGCCGAGTGTCTTCGTTCTTTCATTTTGGAGGAACATGGGCAATATAACCAGGAAGAACATCACCAGGAGTGTTCGAGTTGAACTATTTAACGATCAATATACTGCTCTCTGATCGTACTCAGCAAGAAGCAGACCATCCTCAGGCAGTCCCTGGACCCGGATTGTCTTGAACCCAGCGGCCCCACACCATGTGACCATCCTGAAAAACAAATAACATCAAACATGGCTGCCTAACACACGTACGTTTACCAAAGGGTCCAAAACCACACCTCAACCATAGACATCGATAGACCTAGAAACGAAATGAACACGGGCGGAATCTTCTGCCTAAATGAAGTTGGGCAAAAAATATAGCCTACATCATGAAGTTCCATGGCTTGATTCTGTAGATCTCTAGATTCTATTTGTGTCCCTCTTTCCAAAGCACCAAATGTCGAACGCCAGGTGGAAACGGCCTTTCCACGCACGCGCGAAAGGCACAGGGCCGCGGTGCGCTCGCCTTCGAGCTAAGGCCACCGTGAACCACGAAGACTGCGCTGTTCACCAAGGTGCACAGCGGCAAATGCCTGGGATAGTCGGAAGGAAGGAAGGAAAGGAAGGAAGGAAGGAAGGAATGCGGGGCCCCACTGGGATAGTCGGTGACCTGGTGAAGGGTGAGCTCTTGGTGCCTGAACTCTATTGAACTACACTACACTCCCGAAAATGATCCGGACCGGGTTGAGTGGGACCTGGAAAGACTGTTGTCCTCGAGCTGCACCAGTGGTTTTCAGGGTCCATGCTTGTTTTCCATGGGGTGTACAATAGTTTATAAGGCATTGCAAGAAGATGAAATGGAGGAGGGTTGGATCAAACATGGACCTGCTATGACCTGCTGGCCTAATTGCGATGCATTTCTTCCATTCTGTATGAATTTTTGAAAGCCCGTTGAAAGTGTCCCATCCCACCATCCCATCTACGAGTCAGTCAATGCCGACGTCGGATCAGCGACCTGCCCACGGAGCCTTGATTTCCATGGAAGTTTTGCAAGGGCATCCGGTCTGGAAATGGTGTGAAAACGGTTGAACATGGTTTATACCCAGACGCTTCAAGCAGCCCTTGGTCCCTCTTGACTCAAAAACCTAAGGATTTGAGATGCCAGACCCCTCCGTATGAGGGTCCGACCCCTGCATATGAGGGTCCATGAGCGTCTGTGTACATTGTTGTATACATCGATATGAGTTCGTTCCGAAGCTGAAGCCATGTCTGTCCTCTTTGCTCTAAAAGTCTCTCCAGATCCTTTTGACGGAACCGTCTCCGTCGCGCTCCCGTTGCGTTTGGAGCTTCCGGCTCCTCCCGTCGTTTCGCTATTGTTTTCTCGGCCAAGGAGGCTTAAACGCTTCTGAGAAGAGGCGGAAAAGCTCCTTAGAAGAGCTCAAGGTGTGGAAGAAGAATGCAGGCGCATTGCGCGAGTAGAAAGCCGATGACTTTCTCACGAGACTCGAAGGTTTGGGTCACGATGGTCAAGGAAGTCCAGTCAACATTCAAGTCAAGAAAGGAAATAGACTATAGACCAGTCTGTCCATTGGGCTCCCTATTCAACCGTGTAGATCTCCCAGGTTCAGAGGCCTCTCAGCGACCAAAATCACCATTGGTTCACAAAAAATCGAACCTCCTGCTCGCCTGTCAACTCCCTTGGTGGGTGGCCATGTTTGGCCACTCCTACTGTGCAATCCCATGAACCTCCTAGATTAAAGCAAGAAACAACAAAAAGACACCCCACACGAAAAGCTGATCATCTAATCTTAACATATTTTTGAGAGGGGTCTACCCCCTTTCTCGCCCTGCCTGGATCATCCCGAACCTTCCCTAACCCACACCGAGCTCATCCGAGCTCCCGGTCCGCCAGGGAGCGTTGCCGTACTTGTTCTCAGTCTCGTGCCTTGGGGAACCGTTCGATCGGGTGTTCCCTGGCGTCTCCAGTCCTGGTGGAGGCGTTTTTCGACCCAAAGACCTGACACCGAGTGCCACGGTGAACGGCGGTGTCAAGAGCTCCTGCACCTGTGTCCCAGCCACTGAAAGCCGTAGAGCGCATTCATCCGAAGCGCCTGGACGAGCGGATGAAAAGAAAAACACCCGACTCGTTCCTCCCTGTCCCAGTTGAGCAGAAGAAAGCCATCGTTTAGTCTGGGGAGGAATAGCTGTACACCCAATTCCTTCGTGTCCCATGTGTCGAAGAATCAGTTCGGCTAGCCCTGGAGGAGAGCAACGAAAAAATACATCATCAAATAGTGAACAACCTGCGAACCAAAGACTTTCCAGCATTTTCCAACTAAGAACATCCAGCTTTGGGACAAATGAATGACTTTCGCAAATCTGAGAGGGAATGATAGCTAATCCGGCAAGTCTTGATCACCCAAAAGACACAATGGCAAGCTTTATACAAAACCCCATATGTAGGAACAATGCGGGCAGAATCAGGCAGAATACATTAAGTCACCAACTAAAAATAAGATCCATCAACAGTACAGGTCACGGCTACCCTAGCTGTTCAAGGAAAACACTGCGCAGATTCCCTCTCCCCAAGGTGACAAAGGCTCTGGTTTTATTTGATAGTTTTGATAGATGCCGCCCAGCAGCATTTTGATGTTTTCAGAGTGTTTGCTGTGGCTAACCCTCCAGTCGATGACCTGGCTGAGGCGCCTCTCCGCGGGCCCTCGCGCCTCGTGGTTGCCGCGGTTGAGGTGCACGGATCGTGGATACAAGACCTTCAAGGCCAACCTGGGCACCAAGTGTCGATACAGGTCCTGGTATGTCGTGGGCTGCCCAAGGAAAAAGACTAGTTGAGAGTAGATGGTGACGTCTGGGCCTCCCCATTTCGGTGGGTTTTGAAGGACCCCCATCGGTCACTGGCCATCGAAGCTCTGAATGTTCACCGATGGCCCAAACTAGCCCAGACACGACCTGGCAGGGACTGGTATATGCCTATATAATTATACATCGACCCCCCAATCACCCCAACTGATCGGCAGTTCTATGGCAGTCCCATCAGTCGTGTCTGGGAAGGGTGGCCTTAGACATCTCAGCTGCTCTGGACATGGTGAAATTAAGTTCTCACTGAGAGGAGGCGGGCCAACGAACTCAAGGTTCATCGGCACTGGTGCCAGGTTATGCTGAGTACTTTCAGTTGGGTTTGCCTGTTAAGTAAATTGGACAAATATCATGAGCATGTCGTCTTGGATAAAAAATGATAAAAATAACCCACACATGCAGTGGGTTTGTCCTTTAGAACCCGATTATTACAAAAATGGCTTGTTCCACTCTTCTTCTTCCTCCTCCTCTTCCTCTTCTTCTGATAATACTGAAAAGAGGCTTGTGGGGACGCCATGTGAACCGAGTCCGCCGTCTGCGAACCGGACCGAGTCCGCCGTCTGCGCCATTGCCGGTTAGGCCCGATGAGACTGTCGAGCAATTCGACCCCCGAGCCCCGGGACCGACCGATCCGGCTCAAGGCGGCGGGTCGTGAAGCTGATCGAAACCCAAACAAAAACAGCCGGACTGGAAGGGTCGGAATATCTGCCGACATGTTTGGGTGCTTTTGACATGTGTCTTGGATTCTCCAGTCCCATGAAGACGCTTCGGGGTAAAGTTGTATAAAGGTCTGTAGAGGTCTCGAAGCCCGTTCGCTCAACTCCGGTCGCCCCAGTCGGTCGGGATTCGACGAGGAGGCGAGGCGACGGGTGGGTCCCGCGTAATCGCGGATCTGTTCGACCGCAGATCAGTTAAGAGATTCCTGCCTTTTTTTTGGTCCCAGGTACCTCCGTACTTCGGATGGTCGAACGGAGGTGAATGCGTAATTACTTCTCTCGAGAATGGTCGTTGGGGTCTGGCAGGACATCCGATACCTCGGATGCTCCTGGACCCTTAGGGTGCTCGACATCGGCGTCCGATCGCTCCGTTCGAGTCGCGAGGCCTGAAAGGCTCCGTTCGGTTCGCGTCCTTGTAGTAAGCTGGTTTGTTGGGGGAGGTGCGAGTTCCTCACCCAGAACATCGCCCGTCTCCACCCGGTGACGCCGAGAGGCAAAAGAAACGCCACCTCCACGGAGAATTGTCCACGATCGACCTGGAGGCCAAGTGAAGGCCTTCCATCCTATCTGTCCAGTACCGGACCCAGCAAAACCTGGTCCTGAAAACCTCAGGATCTTTAAGAGCAGCGCTGTTATCAACTCTACAAAATGAACTCTTTGACGGACTTGGACTGGTTTGCACCCGGATTACCTTAAATATAGCTTTTAAGTTCCACCACACCCCTGGTGAGAGAAAAAAACCGCCAAAGACCGCAGCGCGCGACTCTACGATCTCAGAAGTTTCTCTCGCGGGACAATCCGTGGAGAAAGTCACCCAAACCTGGGGCGTCAATCTAAGGATCTGAGTGATGTCAACTAGATCGGTACATGTAGGCATCACGTCAGTCTGTTCAGTCTCACCCCAGATCTCACATGCAAGAAGGTAGGAACCATGAAACTCGGGCGAGGATGTTGTCAGTGTTCTTGTAGTTCCTCTGTTCACCAAGAAGGGACGTGCAGCTGGATCAAGTCCAGTGAAGCCTACTACGAAGATCCCTTGGAACAGTGCTAGGTTGTAGGAAGTTGACTTGAGCCAAAACCGGGGTTTGGGGAACATATCTAAACCCTTAGATAAGGATCCAGTCGTACCGAACCTCAGGTTAGGTGATGTTCGACACTGCTATTTGCCGGTGCCAGGAGGGTCCAGTCGTACCGAGACTGAGAAGGTATACTTGGATTCCTAAGAGTCAGTTCCGCTCGCAACATGGTTCGCCCTCTTTTTTCCATGTTCCTGGTAGCTGAGAGGATCGCCCAAACGGCTCTCCGGTCGCAACTAGTCTTCTGCGGCCCCACTCTCCCCGGTCTCACCACGTCTCCGGTCAGTGCCGCGGGGCGAAGTCACCGTTGAAGAGGTATTGGTTCCGAGGGGAGGGGTCCTGAGTTGAGCGACCGACACACATGAGCAAACGGTGGAGGCGCCGGTTCGATGTTTGGTGCCTATAGGACACCAAAAACCTCTAAGAGGGTTATCTATCAATAGCTCCTGCAAGAGATCATTTTGGGGGTGTCCAACAACAACCATAAGGTCCTGGTGTACATATGTGTATATATATATATATTTATAATGTAATATATAATATAATATACTATATGCCTAATTATGCCTATGTATATATAGGGCCCAAACATGTTCTCTGTGTTTGATTAGAAAAGCCATGAAAACACCATATTTGGGGTGGTTGATGGTCCAACATACAAATCACTGCTCTAGGTGATTGAATGTGACGGGGTTAAGATGACCCTACTGTAGAGTTTGTGGCCCCGTGCCTTAGAGCATGGAGCATCTGCGACAAAATCCGGTGGTTAGCCCTAGAGAGTCAAACGATGGACGCTCTCCGATGTGGAGTCTCTTGTAGAACAATGTCTAGGCCCCGTTTGAACCCAGACACGACCTGTCCGGGACTGCCACAGGACTGCGCCCCAGAGAGACCCCCCAAGCTCACCACCCCAACTGATTGGCAGTCCTATGGGAGTCCCATGCCCTGTTAGGTCCGGTCAGGTTGGTCCGAGGGACCAACCAGTCCAGGAACCGCGAGCTGAGTAGACGTGGGTGTTTGGAGTTTGCTTAAGCGACCGAAGTGATCAAAGAGGTTTCTTACAACAGGTTTCTCAAAAGGTCAGAAACAACACACAACGTTAGAAGAAACAAAAGGCTGCGGAAGGAGGTGGTGGTGGCGGAGGTGTAGAACGAGGTGGCGGGAGGAGGTGGTGGTGGTGGAAGTGGTGGACCGAGTTGCCGAGTTAACATTTAGGCTCACCTGACAGGTGGGGAAGAAAGCAAATGACGCAGGATCAAAAGAATAAGGTGCAGAGATGTCAAATTTGCATTAGGGGAACAGCCCTTGTGGAGGGTACTCTTTGTGAGCTTCTCAAATGATTGATTTTGGTTGTGGATTGTCAGAATAGGACACCTATAAACCCTGAACCTTACCCATGTTCCGCGATATGTATCAAAAAGCAAGTGCAAAACGAAAGGCTAAGCCATCAGCAAAGACCTCATTGACGAGCTAAAAAAGAGATGAGCGGCCATATAGAAAAATCGTGATTTAAACCTCTCCTAGTACCTCTCCTAGTATATCAACCCCCACACCAAGTGCGGTTTTGAATGGTTTTGAAGGGTAATCGTTCTGAAGGGTAAGGGCACATCAGAGTGTACCTGAGGAAGACTTCGGCATGCAAGCACAATCATCTGTAGGGGTGGAGCTGTCCTTTTGCTTGGTCTTCGCGGCTTCCAGCTGGATACTAGACATGCGTCGTCGTCAACTTCTTGGCTTCTTTGCGGCAAGCTTTCATGGCTTTCTGAAGGAAGCTTGTGAAGGTGGACAAGCGATCGTCCTTGTTCATCCAGCCCGACTCTTCCTCTTTGACATCTTGGTCTTGTTCTCCTTTGGATTTGATTTTTTTTTGATTTCGCCTCAGCTAGCCTTCGTTTCCTTCTCGTTTGGATCTCCGAAGAAGATTCGTCGGCAGACCATCCTTGTTGCTTCACACAAAGAGAACTGCGAAGGCACCAGCGACAGTGCCTCATCATCTTCAATCCGCCACTGCAGAGCTTCGACAAGTTCGGCCACGGTCTCCACGGTTTGCAGAAACATCGGACGCACTTCCTGGCGGTTGCAACTTGCGGCCACGTCGTAAGAGCCCAAGCTGGGCTGATCGCACGTGCCAAGCGAAATGGACGTTTTGTCTGGGGACCACCCACGGTGTGAGCGCTCGTGAAGCTGCAAGGGCTTCAGTGAGCCAGTCGCCAAGCTGGTCTTGGTCTCGCGAAAGCGGTGATGAACCAACCCACTCCAGCTTTCCAAGCCACTCCAGCTTTCACCACGCCGGCCATCTGATGGTTGCTGATTTCTGCTTTGGGAAAGGGGCTGCCCAAAAGGGATTGAAACTGTTGGAAAACATGTTATAGATTATAAACCTCTTCCCTGCATCACCACCCAAGCGCTGGACCCCGGCACCCTGGGCACCTTCATCGCCACACCGACCCAGGCAACATGAAAGGGTGAGATGGATGGGACATAAAAACCCTATACATCACATCCCTTTATACTGACTTAAAAAAACAAGATTAGAGTCTACCTGGCCTCAGATTTCTTATCACACTTGGGATTCTAAGACATATTCTATCAACCTTAAATGGTGATTTCTTATCACAAGCTTCAGCCGTGCTCGCAATTTGGAACAATTTTTTCCAGGGTGGTGGCTCGGATGAACGGACTGTGGAGGTTTCTCCATCATCCTGACTTTGACCAACATGCAATCGAACTCCGAGAACAACGTTAAGGGCCCACCCGAACGTCGACGACCCACCCGAAATCCCCGGAAATCCCCGGAAATCGACGATTCGAAGCAATGCTGTTGCAGAATCCCCGCACATCTCCAGCAGATGCAACAAGTCCCAGAATTGGCCGTGTAAATCGCCCACCACGTGCCTCGTCTGTTCGATTCGGGTTGGGGAACATGCCTCCCATTCACGATGGTTGGACGCCCCAACATCGATTCTGAAGCGACTTTCGGTGGGACCAGCCACCCCTTTTCACCGGGTCTTTGCGCGCTTTGGGGGCTGATTTGCATCCCAGACTCTGTCCCAGCGGTGGTGTTTGGGAGAGCCCCGGTCCGGCCCGGCCGTAAACTGGTCGATTTCTATGTGGGCAGAACACGAAAACCGCAAGGACCGCAGGAGACCAGGTGTGATTCCCCGAAGCGCCAAACTCTGAAATGGAAAAACCATGAAAAAACCATCCGTGCGACCTGTTGTTTTTCGGAGTCAACCCCTTCTCCATGCACGAAATGAGTCTCAAATCCCTGCGAAGCAGAGGGTCTCAGAAACCCGATCTAGAACCAAATCCTTATGGTTTTTTCTGCAAAAAGTCCGGAAATGTATGGAAACCTACTACTTGCATAACCATGATCTTCCTCTGCCACCTAGAGGATTTGGGTTAGCCTTTGCAGGTGCAAAGGCATCAAAAAACTATTTCCCACATCCACCAGCCCCTGATGAGCCACAAAGAACATCAAAGAACCCACCAATTCCAAATTGTTTGTGTGAGGTTTCAAATCTCAACCTGTGCAGCTCCGAATAACCCAACCTGTCACAATACCAAGATATGACAAGATGCACAGTGCAGCCCACTTGAACCTGGTTGAGGTGAGGGCGCCCTTTGAAAGCGCGAAAAAGAAAATCCCAAATAAATAACGAAACTGGGTCTTTAAATTGTGAAATTTGTTCGAATGCGAAACTCGTCGATGGATGACTTTGACTGTGCCTGCCAATATCAAAGACACCCTGGAAAAAACATAAACACCACTTGCTTGCATCAAGATGGATCATTGGGATCTTGGATCATGTAGGATCTGGACCGTAGATTGAAAGTTGCGCCATGGTCGTTGAAGAGCCGATCGAGATTCACATTCAGATTCCTCACGGGACCCTTTCCAATCAAAGACCCAGCTTGGCCAACTCTTAAGCTGGGTTGGCCTTTCGGCCTTGCCGAAAAATGTTTTCTCATTTGGTGGTTTGGTGCATATAAACCAAAAAGAAGTCAAGCACACCTTTTCACTACAATGCAAAAGGTCAGTCGTCAGCGGCAGGACCTGGTCAACAAAGCAATTAAACCAACAAAGCAAAGCAACAAAGCAAGGAACAAAGTGACCGCGGCGACGGCACCCTTTTGCACAGTCAGGCGGCGGCGACGTTTGGGGCCCATACGGGGCCTTCCCAACTGCCATGTGGTTGCTCTTCACTTAAGGTAGTTGAACGCCAATATAATCATTCTTGTGGGAGATAAGTCGCACATGTCGCACTTGCACAAATATTCTTGAATATTTGTTGTAAGCAGATATAAGTAGATATAAGTTCTACATGTGCGTATCAGACGAGACGCGCATAAAGAAAAATAACAGAGGCAAAGAAGCAAACAGAAGGCAAACTGAGTCCCTTGTACTGATTGGAAGGCACAGCAGTCACACCGCCGCACCCAACAGATTGTTGGATGGAACCCACAGCAGTCACACCACCGCAGGTTATATGCTACTTTAACACTGGCTTTGCTAATGACAATGCAAGACAGCGCAAGCACCGCGCAGGTTCGCCTTTTAGCGCATGCAGATCAATCAGTGACAGTGGTTGTCAGCCAAAAGTTGAGCCAGTCTAGTCAGTTCAGTCCAGTGGTGGTCAGTCCACACACGAACTTTAACTATAATGATTAATATAGTAATATTAATGGTCCCGCATTTGCCCCACAAAGCAAAAAAAATGTAAGCCATTGGAAAACAACCTTCAGGTGGTTTTTGCCACTTGCAGCCTCCTCAAAAGACCGTCGTCGGGATGCCCTCCATTCAAAGACCCCCTGGATCAGTTTTTTGCAATTGGAAAATCACTTTCAGGGATGTCTTCACCAGAAACTTTCAACTAAAGCCAGAAACTCCCTTCCCAGCTACATAGACGATTCCGACCTCAGTTCACGCGGTTCCTGCAGCCACGTCAAGCCCAGAGGTGAAAAAGCTAGCGGCTTCCTTGATTGCAAACATTAGATGATCTATCTTGGTGCAATGCAGGCACTTGGTGCAAAGCAGGAAATGTCTTTTTCGCTATGTGCGTGCCGTTTCGCAATTACAAGATACATTTTTGCACTTACATCATTTGTTACTAAAATATCTTAAAATAGGACTTTTGTTCTTAAGAGGCACCCTGGGCTGAGGTTGGGTCGATTCTGCGTTCCGGCAGGGCGTATGAGCGCTAAAGAACAAGGAGAAAACATTGGAGCCTGCATGGTTGTACAATAGTAGCCGATCCCGTGCTCCTGGTCGATTGAACCTGCACCATATGAACACATGAACCTGCACCGTTTTGATTCTACTGCTGCGATCCGAGATCAGTAGGAATGGTCATGCTGCAGTGCTCTGAAAACATCCTGGGTAGGGTAGTGCACAACCTCGCATGATTCTAGATGGTGATGGGAATATCTCTGGACGTTGTTCTCTTGCAGTCATCAACATCGCTCTGCATGTCTCTCTCTCTCTCTCAATCAACCTCACCCCACCAAAAAACTTGCTCCCTTGTTGCCGATTCTTCTCGACACAACCATGAGAACCTTTGCTAGGCCTACGCATTTAGGTATTCATCTGTTTTACAGGGGCCTGCTTGGCGATGCAAGAAAGAAACATGAAGAAACAACTGGAGTGGCAGCAAGCATGTTCTTCCTATATATAGCAACATATCAAATAAGTTACTATTTCCTGCATGGGTGTAGTATGCCTGCGTGTATATATATACACCTTTGTATATGTATACTAGACACAACACAACTACTATAGATGCATTATCAACAAAACATATATATATATATAACATCATTAACGTTGACAAACTGGGAGGCCGGTGGGTGAACCGTGTGACATATGTTGATGTGTAAGTCAATAGGGAGACCCCCAACCATTGGGTTTTGGTCCATTGTGCTTCTTCCAAGGGGTCTTTGCGAGGTCTCCCATTTTGGGTCGTGGAACAAAACACAAAAGTCAACCTCCCTGGCTCTCACGAAATTGAACAATAACATGGAAAAACCATGGTTAGTGAAGACTTTTCTCTAAAAATATAGTGATAGTTGTCCACTGACTGTTACAGGTAATTTAATTTAATGGTATATTCCATGGTCTTTCCACTTCAGTCGTTTGATGAATCATATTGGAAAGAGCATGGAAAGACCTTGAAAGACCCTAGTTCTGGCCGCTTGAAGTTCCACGCAAGAGCAAGCTTTCACCAATCCATCATCTCTGTGTCCTATTGGCACCATCTGCTTCCAGAAACCCAGCACCTTCGCAGCGAGGTCTTCGCTCGGTATTCGCTCGAAGTGCCTGGAGCTTCACCATGTTTTCCTCTTTCTTCAGCAGCTCCAAGGCTTTCGACACCACTTCCGTCGCATCCGCCTGACGCGTCGCTGGAGGTCCGTCGCTGGAGGTGCGTCACAGCGCTGCGGAGGTCGGAACGCCTGGGAGGTCTCGCTAGTACATTACCCCGCAGGCCTTGATGGGAATTCAACCCCAGGAAGGCCTGAACAAGGTCTTACAGTCCAGGTTGGGGGGATATTGATCAAGATTCTATAACTGGAATGAACTGGATCTCCCTTCCGAAGGTAACTGGATCTCCTTTCCGAAGGTGACCTAGTTAATATATACTATATATATATATAGCTATAACTACCAGCACCGCCCAAAGGATGATAAACATTGACCTATCGACACCCCTCAAAAACAATGTATTTTCCATCAAACATCATCCAACCAACCACCCAGAACGTTCGTGGTGCTGGTCTGGTGGATAGTCTTTGGGACCCTTCGAAACCCGGGAATTGGTCGCTTTCCAGTCGCCGCCATCGCCCCGGCGCCGACGGTTCGGTGCACAGGGCGGGCCAGAGCTATGCCGGTCACCGAAGATCAGAGCTGGGTGAACTCAGTGAACTCCTCCACGTCCGGAGTGTTTCCATGCTCACTTCTTGCTGGCCTCAGCCTGCCACTTCTCGCCCTTCTGCAGGAGACCCCAAAAACCTTCGAAAAGAAGACAGGAGACGCTCTCGCACGCGGAGATCGATTTCTGCACCTGGACTAGTGGATGCTCCGTGCTCTCCCTTTTTGCTGTTGGCTGAGATTCTGCATGGTACCTTGGCCGCCAGAGGCACAACAAAAAGAGATCGATCTCTTCTTTTGCGCGACCTCCTTGCCACCACGATATAGGTCAACTCGCAGGATCGACGCTGGGCCGCGGTGAGTCGTGCAAATGGCGAAGCGGCGTGCGATCGCACCGGCGATAGGGCGCCCCGAGAGATGCAGGCGTTCGCTGGGCGTAGAAATGCCGTCGGCTCCGATCCCGACATGCAGAAAAGGGCGAACCAAGGGTCAAGTCCTTCACCCGAAAGCCTCAACCCCCGAACCTGGTCGCGAACCGGGTTGAGTTCCTTTTTTCTTTTCGCCACGGGCTCGGGGGCGAGGGGCTCGGTCTCGCGTTTCTGGATGTTTCTTGCTTTCATTTACTCGAATCGAATCGATATATATCCCAGACATTCCCAGACACTCCATGGGACTGGCATATTTACCTACATTGGGGTGGTTTGAGGGGTCAATGTAGGCATATATGACAAACATGGAGTGTCTGGGTATGTTTTCCTTGTCATCCAGGTCGGAAGCATTTCGGATGACGGCCCAGTCGGTGAACCTTGCGTAAGCTTCGAAGAATGAGGATATATGAGGATATTGCACTCAACAAAGGTGTGGTTCTGAAGGGGTTTCCTCATGCTTCCCCTCTCTCCCTTCGTGTTGCCCCAGAATTTGTCCGAGTGCGAGATGAACTTCCATAGTTTGAACATGTATTTCTTTAACCCCAACCCACATGCACCCAACCTGTCTCAGAGACTTCTTTATAGCTCAATCTCCCCATCCCACCCTCCACCCGACCCGCCGCACCAGTCCGACCGGCTCGCCTGGTTCGGAAGGATCCTCTCCTTAATCCCTTCGATCCACCTCTGCACGGAGTCCTGGCGCACCGACGTCTGACGCCCGAAGGTCGATGATCGGCCAAGGTCGGTCGATCGGTCGGGTGGTTGGTCTCACCGGTCGGCCTGTGAGAAGAAGCAGCCCGATTGGGCTCATGGGGCTCCTGAGACATTCGTGGCCCGGAAGACTTGTCATTCTCTTTTTCCAAGGGAACACTGGGAAGCTTGGATTTTGGTCGTCACCTGACCCCGAAGGCCTCGGAACAGAAAGGAACTTGGGGCTAGGAAGATCTGTTTGAGGGGCGACAGCAAGTGCTGCTCACTTCGACCGATCCGGTCTGTCCAACGGTGCCGCTGTCCAACGGAGGGGTGCCCCTGTTCTAGATCCACTCATTCAAGGCTTTTGAGAAAGGCAGGAACCCCAAAAACATGACATCAAGAAACCAACCAAACCAACCATCCAGACCATGAAAAAAAGACCAACCAACCAGACTAACCGACCGACCAACCAAACAAACAACCGAAGACGATGACAAATGAGGCAATGAGAAAGATACATCCCTCATCGAAGAGTGGATGCTCTTGTGGCCCGTCATGGCCTTCTTCACCCCGAGCCGCGCTTGGTATCGCTTCGAGCCCTGCATGGCCTCAGATGAAAAAGAGGAAGAATGGATATCTCTACATAACTCTACCAGCACCAAAACTACAGTAGGTGCTTGATAGACTCCCCTAATTATGACGATTTATATAGCCTATAACAATCAACATCCCCCTTGTGGTGCTTTCCCCTGTTTTTCCGGAGCAAAAAGCATGTACCGTTGTGGAAACCGGGATTCAGCAGGATTGGGCAGGACCTGGAAGCTTACGGAAGCGCCCTCGAACATCCCCTTTGTGTGCACGGAAGACAACTGAAGGTGTCAACCATCAGAAGCTGAAGATAGGATCTGCAGAAGCTCCTTTTGAGTGTGGAACTAGTGGATCAGAATCATCATAACCCACAGGTTCAGCTTCGCAGAGCTTCACCCAGGTCTAACATGTTGCCCTCTGGGCCTCTGGGCCCCTTACAAATATATAGTGTCGTTATATCTGTTCATGCGAGATCGTGTACTGTGTATGCAGCTTTGACTATTGTCTACCTGCCGCAAGAATTCCTTTCGCAGCAGGGCCAACGGAAGAAGCCTTGAGTCATGACAATGGTCTATCTTTTGGTTTTCAGGTCCTGCATTCTGAGCGTGGAAGTATAACCTCAGCAACCTCTGAATCAGCTCTATCCAATCTATGACCTGGTCCTATCAAAAACACCAGCCATTGTTGAGAGCTGGTATCTGAATCTTCGGATGTCCAAGGGAAACCCACAGCTGCTGAACCCCTCAGGGACCAGGTCCTGGAACAAGGTGAAACAAGGTGGTCATGAAAGGATCATCCACCGCAACTCTGTCTACTCGCCTGTCAACCAAGTTGCTGCCATTTCCGACTTCTGCAAAAGCATTCTCGCCTCGCAAGTTGGACGAGGTGGCTTTCGCAACGTTGATCTCAAATGAGACGCAATACCTCCGCAGTGCTCGCACCAACCTGGCTAATAGTTTGAAAGAACCACAGTTCCGTTCAAGCTCAGCTCCGGATAGCTCTGGCCCTGCCGATTCCATCAACATCTCCCTTCCCGATTTGGAGAGCCAAGGGAAGGTTTCGACAGCCTCTCAGAGACTCATCCTGCCAACTTGGAATGTATACGTCGCATTTCACCTCAGTGAAGCGAGGAGGAGCCAAGCTCTTTCTGACACCCAAGCTCGGTGCAAGGTGTTGACCCCTCACCCTATACGAAGCATGGCTTCGGTTGACCTCCCGAAGCCGGAATCGGTTCATTGGACCCCGGGAGGGTCAACCAAGGTCGGGTTTGGATCGAGCCAAGGTCAGTCGTTCTCAATCTATGAGTCACCAGAATGCGGGTGGGACCGATCTACAAATCCATACCTCTGGGCCTCTGGGTGTGTATTAGAACAGGGAGACACCTCAGTTGGACCTCTGGGAAGGTTAAAAGAGACGAAGTCCCACAATACAAACCCATAGTCCATAGTCCATAGTCAAAGCCGGCTCTGAGTGGTCCTCAGTCCAACCACACCTTTGTAGAGCAAAACAAGAAACGCCAAACGTTGCTTATAGCCGCTTCTTTTGGAAGCTGCTTGAACATCCGAAGGTCGAAACACCCACCCGAGCCCCAGGGCACCATGCAGACCTCCAAGACGACCCACCAAACCATGGCTCTAGTGACATGGCAGGTGTTGCGCATGTGGCGGCCAGAGACCCTCCGCCTCCCCGCCGGGAGAACTCTGCTCCGTTCCCCACCTGCGCCAGAAAGCCTTGCTCGGAGTTCACGGCGTCCACCCCTGGGAGAACGGCAAAGGGCTGAAGGATACCGGAGGTCGGTGCAGGACGAACGTGTGAAGAGAGGAGTCAGAGGGCCAGAGGGTTGGAGTGCCAGTGCCATATCAAGCATCTGGCCACTTAGAGGAAGATCGTCTAAAATGTTTGGTGTTTTGGGGCTTGCAACATGTTGCCATGCATGTGTCCGAGGGCCGTATTCTACGTGAGAACGAAGCAACGTCCGCTGTGGACATCGGCGGACATCAGTTGGCCTTGGAATATCGTGGTACGTAGCCCTGGGACACACAGCACCGGCACGCCACCATGCTCCGTCATTGCTGGGATCCACAATGTGATTAATGGACTATACATCTATCCCAGACACTCCATGGGACTGGAATATACTTTCACCCGTTTCACCACCGTAGGTAAATATGTCAGTCCCGGTCTGGGTATGGCTATAGGAACCTGTTTGGGATGGTCATGGGAGATAGACCCCGGAAAGCCCTTTACAAGAAAACCTATTGAGGCCGACCCACTTGTCAAGTGATTTTGTCAAGTCCTCTTGTGATCAGCAAGCACATGCAAAGCACCTACCTGTGGGGAGTCCTAGCCAAGTTAAAACCCAGTTGGGAACTGAGGCTTTCCAGTTTTCGTCCTCCAGAATCTAACCGTTTCCATGTCAGAAATTCTGGAGATGCTTTTCTGATTGCTTCACATCCACAGTCGTGTCACCAATAGACTACCCAAATACGCCTGCACAAGTCTCTGCTCCTCCCACAGGAAGCAGGTATGCTTTGGGGTATATCATACAATTACCAGAAACAGTGGATTTTCCTGCACCCAAACAATACCACCTCAAATTCTTTACCGACCGCTGTCCTCTTAAGGTTCCACACCGCTGTCCGGTTTGTTCTGTTGGTCTGAACCCTGACGGAACCAAAACCGCGCTTCCGGTCCACCGCGCCTTTCTGGTACTCCGACTCGAAAATGTCCAGTCGGAATTCCATGTCTTGGGAGGCCAAAGAGACCTCAGTCAACGAAGTCAATGGTCCCAAACCAACGAAGTAGACAGACTAGTGGATGAATCTTCATTTGTAGTGCAAAACCCTCTTATTCATCAACAGTCTAGCATAGTCTAGCACCGTAGCACCGGTACACCCTCCCAGATCGGTGGCTTTCCTTGTGCTTCGGTGCCGTGTTCCCGACATCGGACCGGGGTCGGCGAAGGACGGACGTTCATCGGACGTAGGAGCAACTGTGGACCTTCGGACCCTGGTGGGAATTCCATGCGAAAGACCATGAAACTCTTGAGTTGATCAACCTGAACATGGCTGAAACTGGACATCGTCCATCTCAGATGGCCGATGTCCTGAGCCCCGGCCGAAAGAGCGAGGTTCCATTCGATGACAATATCCTTTCGGATGATGGAGGAACTCTTGTGGAACCTAGCCACACAATTAAAAGTATTATTGAACATAATAAAACAAGTAAACAATAGTAAACACAAATGACTTACAGTTCCATTGTGGATCCACTTGCACCAAAAAAGCGCTCCCATGTTTCATCGGTCGGACCACTTATTAATGGTGTTTACTCATGCAAACTGTTCTCCAAGCGAACCTCTCCATGCCACGAGCTCCGCCCAGGCACCGCCTCTTCGTGCGCCTTGCGGAGGCGCTTCACGGCATTGGGACGCAGCAACGGCAGACCGCCTGCAGGCGCCGGGTGTTGTGGAAACACCCGCTTTCTCACCACCGGCTTGGCCGGCAGGACATCAGATCAATGTGATGGAAGCGAATCGATCGCTCTCATGGTTAAGCTAAGCACGTACTTGCAGCTCTCGGCATCACTCAGTATGTACTGCTAGACCGCGGCAACTTTGATTTTCTCTTTCGTCTCGTGCGCCAGCATCGACATCCCCGCCCTCAACTCAAGAGAAAAATGCGTGTCCGCATGGTCCCAATGGTTCAGAGCAGCTAAGCACAAAGTTAATACGAAGTTAAGATGGGCATGCACTGAATACTTCCTACAGCTCTTCCAAGCTGGAACTCAGAGTTCTCTAACCACAACCAAGCGAGTCTCAAACCACAACCAAGCGAGTCTCAAATCCAAGCTTGCGGGCATCAAGTGACCTGCTCCTATTAAACAATTAACAGCTTCAAACATGGCAGATTGCACTTCTTTGGAAAATATCCGCTACAGTGCTTCTACAGTGCGGAAATCAGGATCTACATGCCTGGATACATGTTGAAAGCTGAAAGGCACTTCTTATAAGGCAAGGTCTCCTGCAGTGAACCAGTGTCGAAAACGGCCGCTTTGGACATGTGAACTTGAACCTGGGAATGAGTAGTCAATGACTAACGCAGAAACCACCACCAGCGCCTCACCACCAGATGTTAGACATGTCAATCAAGGTCAACTCCAGAACTTCCCCCTCCAAGCCGTAGAATGCCACATCCGCCCGCCACCGCCCCACTTCCCGTGCATCGGCCCGATGTCCCTCGACCTCGCGACCTCGACCGGTCGCCTGGGCGAGAGCGCGCTTTCTGCCAACCCTCCTTGAGGATGAGGAGCACCGAAGTCGAGTGAGCCTGGAGGTCGAGGTATGTCGATGTTGATGAAAGCTTGGTGTTCGGAAAGGGAGGATACCAAAGTAAGGCAAACCAACCTGTGCTCGAGTCCTACAAGGAAACCTACCACTCCCTGGTCTTCTTGTGCTCCGCCTTCCATGGTGATGAGAAGGCACTAGAAGCAGCAATAGAAGAAGGAGCTGTGATGGAATACAAGCCAGGTGGAAGAGTATTGGCATAGTTATGAGTGGACCCAGGCAACCACTCAACAGAAACGTTTTTTACTTTTTTCTTTCCTATGTCAAGTGTTTTTTCATGGTTTTTTCCTTTGTTCTTGGCAGCACAATCAATTTACACTCCGTGTGGGCATGTTTCTTTGATCTCAACCAACATGCTTTGGTTGATAACCAACAGCATGTCAAACAACTTTCTAGGCTATTCAGTGAAACAGGATTTTAAAATAGCATTGTTCAAATAACAACCGAGTTTAACTAATAGTCTATTGTCGTTTTGACTAATAGTCAGGATTCTGCCTCTCCTCATCTTAGAGGTAGCATCTAGGACTTTCGGTTCGTGACCTCTTTGGAGTCTCTGTCTGTGACCATTTACAGGCTTTTTTTTGACCTCGTCCTTACCTAATTCGTGGTTAAGCAAGTGCATGGTCAGTGTATTATTGTGCAAGGTTTAAGAGTGGCTTGAACCTGACCATCAAGAACAAACTCCTTTCAGAGACAAATCAAGATCTGAACACCAATGGTGCCACTCTCGCGTGGGGACCTTGTCTTCCTTACTGAACTGGGTAGCCGGCTGAAAGCATGCATCTATGTAGAACCAATTTAACCTCTGTGGTAATAGCAGTTCTGTTTGCTTGAAAAGAGAGGTCACTCGTTATTATAGGCAAATATCAGTTGCGGGTACATTTTGAGAACCATGCAATCTCAAGGCCTATATTATAGTTACATAAAATTAGTCTATGCTATAAATGGAACAAGCAAGAAAAGGAGAGAAAGAGGGATGTGGTACTTCCAGGATCAACATTACAAATTCTGGGTGGTGCTAATTACAGTCTCTTCCTGGAAGCCGGCTATACATGTTTTCTTTTTCACAGGTGTGCATATACAATGAGCAACAAGGGATCTTCCTACATGGAATGTCGCACTGATCCAAAACTAACGTGAACACGCAGATCCTCTCTCGTGTGAGGAGAAGTTTCGATGACAAAAGTCAAAATGAATAGCTGCATGGGAGCTTCAATCACATTCTCAAAAAGAATTGAGTCTTTTTGTCCACAGCTTGAAGAATCTGTCTTCTGTACACTTAGCTTCAATAGGTAAATCAGCCAAGGGCGCCGACATCATCGAAACCAATTGATTGTTGTTTGGAGTCCTCCGAGATTGGCTACCCCACAACAAAAACATATCTGGATTCAAGTCTGCAAGCCGGTTACACCCCGAACGCATGGACATGGACGTGGAGTTCAGCCCCTGTTCGTAGACCAAAATGGTCTTCCCGGGGCCTATGTTCCTCTATTTTCCACTTCAATCTTAATGGGTCAGGGTGTAAACATCGAATGTCTCACCCCCGCCAATTCTCATGATGAGCACCTCACCACTTATCGCATCTGATCACCACTGAAAACCCCGCCCCACGGCCAAAAACAGGTTCAAAGCTCTGCCAAGCATCTTCTGGGACCCCTTCAAGCTTGAAGGGCTTCACCAACATGCCCAGCTTCGCATCCTTGCGCCGCCCATCCTGTCATCCGCTGTGTGTGCGTCGCGGGAGAGGCGGCGGAAGTCGTGAAGCACAGTGAATATGGCCTCCAAGCCTACTAGCGATGGCCTCCAAACTGGAATTCTGCCCTAATGAATTCTGATGAATTTTTGCTAATTCCCACTTGCACCAGTGTCTTAAGTCTTGCAGGTGGTGCGCAAACACGAATCTCCCTGTCTTGTGAAGGATTTCTGGAACACTTTTTGGGGAATCTGGAGCATCTGGAAGCCAGCCGTCTTTCTGTTGAAGACCCTAGGCCATAACACTGCCAGGTGCTGTAGAATGTCTTCCTTCCTTCAACTACTTTCAAGACACTTCATACTAACACCACCAAGAGTTGCCGTTCGGAATCGTTCGGAGCATCAGTACGTTCAACATATCCATGGCTTGTTCCTTTCTTCCCCATGTCTCAATAGAATTTACAATCGATCTCAGTCTCAGTAGCTCGCTCAAATAGATGGAGAAAAACAACCAGTCAAACGCTCCGAGTTCATCCATAGCATGCTGTATTCCATTCAGGTTTATCCCCAGGACATGAAGAAAGCATCCCACAAAGAACTCGTTACCTTAGGAGCTTTGCTTGCACAACTATTGAAACAGCCACACACACACCAAACATATCAGCATAGTGGTGACGAAATGCCCTGTCAAAGAAAGACCTCATTGGCCGCGGCCCTTTTCTGAAGCGTGCACATTCTTGGATTCCGGAGGGTCGTTCAATCCAGGAGCATCCTCAAAAAGACTTGATTGAGATCATCTTTCAGGGATAAATCATATTGAATCATGAACCAAGTAAAATCCATAAGTCCAAGATCCGTTGTCTTTACCGCTCCGGGGACCGAATTGGCTTTCCTCCGGATCCCGAGCACCGAGCACCTCTACTCCCTATGTCCTTCTCCCTTCCAAACCCGACAAACTCCATGCCTGCTCATGCCCTGAAACACATCCAGTTCCCTTCAACTCGTCCTTCGCGGCCGAAAACACCGGTAGCGGCCACTGCGCCACCCGTTGGTCGCCGAAAAGGACACCGAAAAGACACCCGCACGACGCGTTAAACGACAAACAGGAGCGGCGCCTTGAGCACATAGCCCGTGTGCCCATGCAGGCACAACCAATCGTCAGGTGCTCCGTGGGGCCTCGGGGAGCGAAGTCCGCGCTGGCCACGGCCGGGAAGGGAGCCGTTCAGCGCGCGCGTGCGCGTTTCGGGGGTGGAGATGGTGGTTTGAAGCCGAGATGGGAGGTTGATGGGGTTGGGAGGCGGGATCTATTCGTGAGTGAATGACAGGTTATTCGGGAATGTATCTATTCGTGAGTGACTCAGTGAGTCAGCGACGTCCATCAAGTGGCAGAGATTATGGCGTGATTCGCTTTTTGTTTCACACATGATCTGGACACGACACAAGGGACTGGCATCAGTTGCCAAGAAACGGCCAGGGGTGGTTTCGGGGGTTTGTGGGACGGCCTATCTTCCAGTCATACAGTCTTGCCCAAATGCTTTGAACCCTTAGAAGACCTCGAAGCCCAAACTTGAGATTGAATCTCAAGCCTTCCCAAAAATGGAGGTCCAAGCCCCAACTTCGGGAAGGTCCAAGCCTGTGTGTGGGGGATTGTGGAAACTCTTCACCAAGCAGAACAACTCAATTAAACATCTTACGGTAGACAATATGAAATGTTCAAGAGTATTTATGTCAAGTCAACCGAATTAAGGGATATGTTCTTCATCTCTTCACTTGCTTGGAAGGGTGATCAAAACTAAACTATTGTTTGCATATGGATACAATGTGCATTGTTGGATAGTTTCACTCCCACTGTCACTATCCACATAGAATGTGATATGATTGAAGAGATTGCCTCGAAAAAGAAGAGTTGCTTTGTCCTACGGAACAACTCCGAAAAGGGCGATTTGGCTGTGTCTCCATGGATAGCCCGTCCCTGTTGCTTCGACTATAGTCGATCTTCGTTTTGTCCCAGAACTATCCCCAACAACGGCCCCCACATCTGTGGCTGCATATTCCTCTTCCCCATCTCAATGAAATCTCCAAGCCACTCCTCAAAGAGGAGCTCCTGTTCATGGCAAATGCCTTGCACTGGCGCCTGCAGATCGGGTGCCTTCCGGATCAACAACCGCAAGACGCAGACCTGCGCGACAGCTGGGAGAGGACAGCTGGGACAGTGGGTTTGGGATGTTCCTATGTTTGTTGGAAGGTAACATGGGCTAACTCTTTGGGTGTGGCTGTATTTCAGGTCCGAGACCCGCAGGTTCCACTGGAGGCTTTGGGTTTAGGGGGTTGCCCTGTTGTTGGAGGCATATGCATATGCACCTATAACGGAGCAACATCCTAATTCCATCTAATTCCACTCATGACTGGTTTCACATCAACTCGTAGCAATAGGTAGCATGGGAGGGTGAAGAATGCATAGACCCGCATAGAGTCCCAATAGCCACCAAGTCCTTCAGAAGTAAGAACCCCTATATATAGCATTATATAGCGTTCAGACTAGCTTTCACCTGCCTGATGGAAAACAAGAAGGACTTATAAGGACCTGACGGTCCTGACGGTCCATTCGATCCACCGGTGACCATCGTATTGAGGATCCGAATTGGGACCCCCACAACCGGCCATCACCTATCCATTCTTAGAGCTTTCTTAGAGCAAGCTAGCATGGGATGGTCCCTGTTTAGTGAACACCTGCTGGTCCTTCTTGGGACTCGCTTGACTCGCCAGGTATCCCACTGAAGGTCTGGCCCGGATCGCACTACAAAGCTGGTTGAAACACTGCGTGTTTCACACCATGAAGAAGTTGCATGGAGAATCCCAGCTAAAGAGAAACGTTCTTCGCTTCGTTTGCGAACTCGTGTTTGGTCACCACTATATAAGTGGATTCAAAAAATAATATTCCAAAAAGTGTTGATCAAAAGCACACCAGGAGTCCAAAGAAACGTCCGTGACATCAACAGATCTTTGTGAAACTTGCAGACCATGCCGCCAGGTAAAGATTTCAGGGGTGGGAGGTGAAGCGGGAGGTGAACGTGATGAAGACTCCACACACGTGTTTACACCGCCATGTTGCACCGCCACGGGAGGAAGCCTGGAGTCACATTGGTCTATCTGATCAGTCAACGCTTTGGCCCTGGCATGTCATCGACCTATTACCAGTGCACGATGGTTAGTAAAAGCCTTAATCAAACATAGGTAGGTTCGGACAGACTCAACCCATCCTTGTCAGCTCCGGGCGACACAGGTCTCAGGTCTCAAGAGGAAAGGCGCGACTATCCAACTCAACTCAGCCTTTCACTTCACACGTCACGCGGACCGCGAAAGCGCCCTCGCTCCCATCGCGACGGAGCGCTCCTCCCAACAAACTGGCTGGTCCAGGAGCCCATGCTCCTCCATGGGTCCTGGCCGCGCTCGCTTCACCGTGCCCGTGCGGAGGCCGTCGTTGACCCGACTGGGGACCTGGTGGGGACCGGCCCCACCACGAATCGCACCTGTTCGATCCCTTACTTAGGATCGATTTAGTCAGTCGCTTGCTATTAGTGGGGATCTATACTTGTCTATCTATTTTATTTGAGGTCCATATATATATATATAATGACTAATGCGGTCATCTATGGTCATCCCAAATTTGGGCATTCATTGCCTATAGCAGGTGTCTAGACCAGGGCACCCATTACGGGATGTCTAAAACAAGCCCCTTGGAGCCTTAGAGGTTGAGGGATGTCTATTAGCAGCCCCTTTTCGGGGCCCAAGTATGTCTTGGAATTGCCAACTTGGCATTGCCAAAGCAAGTTCAACCAAATGCTTCTTGCGGCATGCATGAATTCCACGTCTTCTTCCCCAAAAGGACGACCTCTGCAGTCAGTGGCGCCTTTTTTTGAGGCGCCTCCGACCCTGCGAACTGCAAGCGACCCTCTCCTGGAACCAAGTCTGGCAGGTCATCCTCCAGTGGCAAGTCACCTGGACGGAGCTTCGCCGGGAACCCCGGGAACCCCGGGAACCCAGGTCGTCTCCTAGACCCAGAGGTGTTTCTTTTCATCCATCCAGACACGACCTGTCTGGGACTGCCAGTCTGGACTGCCACCCCATTGGACCCCAGTCAACCACCACCACCCCTGGCCTGATCGGCATATATGATATGGCAGTCCCATGAATCTAACGGGTACGGCTGACGACGGAGTCCCCATGCGATCGCTCACCTTTTCGTCTCCTCTCGCGGTTGCGATCGCTGGAAAAGGAGAGGGATCCAGCGAAGGAGTTTCCAGCTGTTCTTAGAAGTGTCTCCAATCCTAAAAGGGTTTTGCCATGTGTTTGCCATGTTTTGGCAGGTCATCCACTTTTCCTGGGTAGGATTTGGAGTCCATCCAGCAGACGAGTCTTGTCAGGGTCCGTGTGAATTTGCGGGGGGGGAGTACAATCAAGTCCTGAAATGTCACCCATCAAGATCAATCAAGTCCCAAAATCAGGTCAGATAGAGCTCCCCAAAATCTGGACTCAGGTCATCTTTTGAATTGGCCAAATCCCGTGCCACCTCTGGCGCTCCAAATCCCGTCGCTTCCCTGAGACTTCGATGTCGCCGCAGGGGTCTGGGTCTTCCACCATGCTCCACCTGAAACTCCCCAAAGTGGAGCTAAAGTTTTATGGGTCCCAGACGTGGCCTGGCGCCATGTTCCTTGTGTCCCTTCGATGCTGAGATTCACGACAGTGTCAAGCTCTTATCGTTTTGGAGCCGAACCGGGTGGGAAAGGTTTCAGGTTCTCCTGCATCTCAGTCCAGTGTGGCCCCTTGAAAGGTCAGGGGTCCTGATCCGCAGTTGGGGGGAGAATGCCGGGATTTACACGGAATCGAATCGGTGATAAACCATCCACTATTCATCCCATCCACATCAACCCACATCAACCCAAAATACTATAAAATACTTAAAGTTCCAAGAAGAACATCGGTTTGAATGGCCAGCCACCCAGGCTTGCAGTTGTGTTTCCACCAGTCAATGCCAGTCCTGAAAAACAAGCAGGTCATGCCTGGCACGGCAGCGGAAGAGTGGAGCTGCGAAGAACAAGACTTTCAGACCCCGACCCGGCTTCCAATCCCGACCTTTCCATCGGGCGTGAGCTCGGTCGCGCAAGCGCGCACTTGCGCCTGGCCAAATCTCGGACAGGGAATCCAAGCCATCCTTGGCTTCGGCTTCGATGCGTTCGTCCGTGAAGTCCGATGCCACGAGAGGTTCGTGGAAGCCGATCGGCTGAAGCCGATCGGGCTTGGAGCAGTCGATGGATCCGGATGGTCCTGCAGGTATACTCAGTGAGTTTGTTGATCTTGATGTGGAAAACGCAGCAAGACAATCCTGTAGAGCAGTAGCATAGTAAGCGAAAAAGTGGCGCAAAAAAGTGGTTGATCCACTCTGTCATGCTTTGTTTTACTTGAGGAAACCAAGGAAAAGGTGGATTTTGAAGGGCATTCCCTTTGCCAACATTTTTGATAGTCAGTCTACTCGCTGCTCCACCCACTTTAATTCCCAAAAAAACGATCCCTCTCACTCGTTCAACCTTGCATGACCGGCGTGGAAAAAGATCGCTTGGCGACCTTAAAAGCGCCCGTAGATGCTCCTGCCCTTCACCACAGCTGGAATGTCATCCCTCTTGGCGTCTAAACAAGACCATTGCCGATGTTTGACCAGAAGTCCGGCCACATGTTGTCAACCCCAGAAACTTGGGAAGAGACCACCTCAATTGGAAAAACACTTCGATATTTCCGCTTTGGATGATGTCTTTGGCCACACCATATGGCCACTTTCTCCACCTTCCGCGCCAAGACACATCGTCCACACCTACGAGGTAGCCGTGCGCGGTGCACGGTGGTTTGTGGTGCACGTCGTGGTGAAAACGTTCATGTTTCAAGCAGCAGTCTCGGTGAGTCCGACACGGTGAACGTTGTTCGATGTCCGGTGCGAGGGGTGAAGAACAATCCAAATTGGCTGGGAGTCCTAGGGGGGTTTCTTGGAATCCATCCTGTTTTCGTAGTTCAGACTCGGTGTCAAAGTTCAAGCGGAAGCACAGATCCCCCAGATCTTCGATTCCAGAGCTCCAGTGACTTCCACAGGTTGACCTGACTTCCACAGGTGTCGCTCCTTCGCTACTCCAGTGACACTGCTCGCTAGCTCCAAGTCTTGGATCTATCCGTTTTCAGGAGGTTTACCACTTCGAGGATCAAAAGAAGACGAAGTCTTAAGGCTTTCCCACAGGTATCCTGGCTTAGATGACACACCCGATCCGCTATTTGCAACCACTATGCACCAGCAAGTTCTGATTTAGATTGGTCAGGGTCAGAGGTGTCCACAGAGATTGGCTGTATGTTCGTGTATGTTCCTAAGTGAGTACGGCTTGGGTGTATCCCATTCCCTGGGCCCAGTGGATGATGATGGTTAGGTTGCAGGCCTTTCTCAAAAGTAGTGATAAGACCTCCTACTGGCTCTTACAGGCAATGGGACACCCCTAAAAATATCATCTTCAAACCTATGTTTTTTTTTTAATATGGGCTGTTTCAGGTCATGGGAAACACAATCACAACCGGCTGACTATGGTGACTGAGTGGGGAGGGGACTTGTGACTATACATAACTCTCAGAGACGCCACAGCTGTTTCAAGACTGGATCTGGACACCAAAATACCTCAGGTAGCAGAACTTCGTTCGCCTTCTCAGCTCAAAGACTCCCCAAAATCATGTGCAACACATGCGCCTAAACTCCCACTCACCGCTGTCTCACGGACGGGCGCCCGTGGACGTGCCTTTGTCGTTCGCCGTAAGTGCATCATAAGCCTGGCGGGGACGGTTCATCCGGCTGTTTGAAGCTCATGCACCACAAATGAGACTCTAGAACTCTAGAAATACAGTCGTACCTTCTCAGAGAAGGTACGACTGGACCCGAACACATCACCTAACCTGAGGTTCGGTGCGACTGGATTCCTAAAGAAGTGACCTCAAGCGGATCAACTCTGGTCACTTCTCGAGAGCTTTTGTTCGTCCGACCTTGTGACATTTTTTTATATCCGTATCCGCACAACGTCGGTGGATCTCCGCATCCCCTGGCGTTTGTCTTCAGCGGAAAAGCCGGTGCACTAGTGCAGAGGTCCAGGGGAGTCCTTGGCCAGTTGGTTCGGTGAGTCTCGGCCTTTTTCTTAATCGAACGAATCAACCACCTTTTGAGATCCCAGGATGCCATGAAAACATGTTTTTTCGGCATTGCAAGCTTGAGCCAAAAGCGAACGAGTCAAGCACCCAGCCCACTTTGGAACTTGAGATCGGATGAGGCCAAGTTCGCCACAAAAGATCATAGACAGACTCCATTTTGGAGGTCACCTTCAGAATGATGTTGTCGTCACGACCAGTCGACCACTAGAAAAACCATAAGCCTATATCGGTGACTGATCAGTCAGTATTGGACCCGACATCCATGGCAGGGGAAGCCGACCCTCAAACCCTTTTATTCTAGGCTTCCAAGAGCATTGAAAAACAAAAATGGTTCGACCCGACCTGGATTTTTGGTCCTCTAGTGAAACCATGGTTGTTCGCTAAAGCCATAAAATCAATACTGGTAGGAAGCCTACAGGGTTGACATTTGAGGGTCCGGATTCCAAAGGCCAGCCTTTCTTGGAAGAGTACAGTATGTGCCATTCGAAAGAAGAGTACATGCACCCTCGCCTTCTGCCATCTGCAGCTGTGAGACACCATCAGCCGTGAGACACTCCCTTCCAGTGCCTTCCAGTCCCAACCAGCTCTTCGCACCGGTTCTATCTTTGGCACCGCTTTCGGGACTGTCCAAAAAGAAAGAAACAATAGAAGGACAACACAACTGGCCGAGATACCCCAGTGTCCGTACCTTGAAAACTTCAACGACCCAAAACCCCTTACAGAAAGGGGGTGTTGCTTCGGACCCTCGTTTACACGGGGCGGTGTCTATTGAACACCCCAGTAGCCACCGCACCTGTTAGGGTCTCCTGTCTGGTATATTGAAATGCGTTTGATATATCAGCACCCTCCTGGCCAGGGTTAGTTGAGGGTTGTTGGACCCTGTCTCAGGTCTCACTAGGTAACCTGTCGGGTCCTGGTATGGATTTGATGTTGCTCTTTGGGTCCACAACCCAGGACACCGCACACCGCGCCCGACGGCGCCGTCGGGCTTCAGCCCCCTCGGCACCTTATCCAGTTCATCGTAGTCGAAGAAGCCCCTCGGTCCCAGCACTCGTGAGAGTCTCGGGGGTTCCAAACATAAATGCTGGACCTTCCAACTAGGACCCAAAATGTCCGGTCGTTTTGGTTTCATGGTCGTTTTGTGTGGTTTGCGTTGTTTTGCGGAGCTTTGTGGTTGTTTGCAGTTGTTTTTTGGGCGTGCGTGCTGCGCTAATTTGCAGTCATTTTTGCTGTTTGCGCTGATTTGGGGCCGTTTGCGCGGAAATCCAGTCGATGACCAAAACTAGCAGAATTTGTTGGTCATTGGAAGATCCTGGTACACCCTAAACCACCGCAATGTAAAGCCAGTCCCATCGGTCGTGTCTGGGCTCAATGAACCTGCGGGAAAAGTGAAATGCTCCAGTCGTCCGCTCAGTTTTGCGAAAAGCGTCTCAGCTTGACTAAAGGCTGATCTCCGGGTCGAAACCAAGTAAACACCTTGTTTGCTTGGCTCATGAGGTCAAGATCTTTTAAAATGGTCTTGAGGTGACCCGAGTTTAGGAAGGTGCTGGATCATTGAATGGTGCGCATGTCCTTTTCAAGGGAGAATGATAGAATTTGAACTTTGAACCATCTAAGGGGTTTGGCTGAAAAGACAAGTCCAGCGACTGGACCACGTTGAGTCCAGCGTTCAGATGGTGACAAATCACCTGCTCACACAGCGAACGTCTGCAGATTCTTCTTCATTGAGGTCCTTTCTGCATCCTCCAGCTCACCTTCTGCACCTCCAGCTACGACCATCACCTTGCTGGGGCCCGCGTGAGACCTCCGCATCCAACCGCCGTAGGGGCCCAGTGACCCGGACAGCTCCGCGCCCTTCGAGGGCGACCGGAGGGCCAGGCAGGCGACCTCGCAGCGGTCCGTTCGGCGAGGGGCACTCATCCCCGATCCTTTATGGGAGGGGGTTGGGGAGGGAATCAAGTGATGAAAAAAAGGTGAAAAGAAAACGATTGAAACTCGTTGTTTGTTTCTTCCCCCCTTATGATTTCAACGTTCTCGAGGTCGCACTTTGCACAAGGATCGGAAGAGAGCGGATCAACCCTTTCAAACCCGGACAAATGCAGCTGTGCTGGAATTCCATGCAGCTGGATCCAAGTTCGGAACAGAACCGTGGCTGGCGCTGTACTCACTTTTCTCCTTGGGATTTGGAGAAGAAAAATCCTGAGGAGCCAGTGCCAAACGCATTTTCACATGACTGAGGAGCCTACCGGATTTTTCGGACGGGACTCCAGTCCTCGGACTGTGCCTATTTCATTGGAAGGTTACGTTTAATTGGAACGTTGCTGTCCAAATCCAAAGAATTTTTGACATACAAATAGCCCCCCATCTTTTCGAAAGGAATCCAAACATCTACCCGATCGGCAGAACCTTGTCATGTCCATGTCCATGTCCCTGTTTTGACCCGTCTGGAAATCGGGCTAAGCGACGTCCTTGCTGCTCTACTGGCAGTTGCTTGGAGTTTCTTGTTGACATGGTGATGGCAGGTATATAATCCCCAGTACCTATAAGATTAACCAAAAAACAATGCATCCGAAACCTTAATGTTTAATTATCCCCACCGGTGTCTTTTGATATAGGTGGCAGGTGATCCTCTCCAAACAGTCCGATCACAAGAGACATCAGGACGCAAGCCCGAACACATTTGGCATCTACTTGGCTGAACATCTTCCTCTTGGATTGCAACAACTGTCCCGGAACCGGGACATAAAACATGTTCCACAGAAGAGGATCTACCCACAAGGCCGGTCTGGGAGAATCATCACCTAATCAGTAAAACCAGGTCAACCTGGGATGGCTGTCCATGCCACCTCCCTCCTGAAGGGGATTCAAGTTTCGCAAGCAATGCCCTTGTTACTAGTAGCTTCTGGCACCCCATGTCAATTGTTTGCCTCGTGGACTCACCTATTTCGGACCCCTTCTTTTTACCGCGCTCAGTAGTTTATAAATATGTGCACAGGGTTCATGGGTGTTCGGCAAAAACCGTGGCAGAAGGATCTCTTGAAATACAAACCAGTTGAGGAGATCCTCCCCCTACAGGTCCAAAGGACCTGGTGCTTTACCTTATCGAGTGGTGTCTTTTGTATGATCAACTCCAGCAAAATGAGCTCAAACTGACCTCGTAAGGGAACCCCCCTGCCGGCCCAATGGATGCTGGTTGATGTTCCTTCTTCCAAGGTCCAAGGGGATCAAACCGGAGGGGTTCCCCAAAAATGCACCCGCACCGGACCGAAAGAGTTTGCTCAAACCCTTCCGAGTGCGGCCCCCTGCATTTCGGTGGAGAAGGCCCAAGAAGTGTTTGCATGAGGAATTTGAAGTTTCCTAACTTAAACCATCCATGTGACTGGAATAGCTACTTACTTGGCTACTGGAATGGTACCCTTACCAGCCAATTCTTCTCGGAGTCTCCAATAAACTACACACAACCGGATCTCCATTGAGCACCCCCTTTGAAGGTGCAGGTAGGATCTCCCTTTCTTACGGAGACCTCCGGCTCCCCGATCGGCGCGGAACACCGGGAACCCGCCGCGCCGTGTCGACGGTCATCAGCACCCCATGGGACGCTTTGGAGCGGATGGCGGTACTGAAGAATCTCTTCAGACTAAGTATTGGCTTTTGTTGGAGTGCCACATGGCATGCTGCATGCTGTGGCTTCTTGAGCTATTGGCAAGCTTGAAGATGTCTTCTGAGAATCTTGGGTTTGGCATCTTTTGTAAGGACTTTTGGGGCTGTGTTTGCTGATGCGTTGGCCTTGGTTCATACTGCAAACACTTTCCTTCGACACCTAGATCGGTTGACTTATAGTCTTCAGGTTGAAAAGGGGGTGATTGATTTGATTTAAGGAAAAAATGTATTATGGTAACCAAACCGTTGCTGGCTTGTCATCCCTGCGGCGGATCTCCCACCCGCTCTTCGTGGCGGATCGGTTTGAACGGACGTCCGGGCAACGGTTGTGGGACCTGCCACCTCTGAGAGTCATGTGAACATGTGCTCGGCCACCAAACGACAGTTGAATGCATGCGGGATTTACATGGCAAGCAACAGAAGTTGAAGAGCCCTATGTAGACTATCCCAGTTGGGTACCCCGGTATGGTCCTTTTTAAGGTCACTTCACCGGATGAACTGAGATTCAAAGCAAATAGTAAAAAACAAATATAAACATCAACTAGAAAAAGGCATTTAAAAAACCATCACCTCCCAGTTGGGAGACATCTTCGGGTTAAGTTCTCAAATCTAGATTAGTATAGTGCCCAAGGACTTTGCAAAGGTTGGAAGGATGCGGGTAGAAATCACATGATAGACCTATTAGCTAAATATCGATTGCTTCACGACACCTGACACCTCCAGTAACAGCTCTCCGGACGTTGTAACAGCTACAACGGGTCCACGTTGAGTGTCGTCGTTCGTGAACAACGGGTCCAACGGGTCCATGCGTCCCCGACGTGTCCAGGATCCTTCCGTTACGTGAGACGTTGGAAGCGAAGCCTTTCATGCGGATCAAAGAAGGCGAGGCTTTGCACGTTCAAAGCCGTTCACCTTCCGTTCTCGACCATGGTTTTAGTTGACATATGTTTTGTGGTTTTTGTGGGGGGGTCAAACGCAGAATGCTTAGTAAATAGCTCGGTCTGGTGCGGGATTCGGAATATCAAATCAATGGTGGAAGCCTAGGTATATTACATATTGCAAATACATGTATGTACTATTTAGTATACGTATGCATGTACAATCATTTACATACACATCTTACATGCTGTGTATTTCCATTGAGTGTCTGGGTATGAGTACACAAGCTCAATGGGTATACTCCCCCCCCAGCCACGTGTCGTGACTCGTGTGGGTCAGGGCACTGGGTGTCCCGGTTTTCACCCACTGCCATATCCAGACAGATTGCAAGGGCATACCTGGATCTCCGAACTATAGTCGTGTCTGGGTACCAGCGGCAAAAGCAGACACGACTAGTGAGACAGCGGCCCTTTAGGCCTCAAGGCCACTGTGGATCATCGCGTAAAGGGAACCCTGTCTGTTGGGGGTTCAGCATGCACAGTCCTTCTCTAAGGTTTTAACCGAACTATATGGTTTAGTAAGATGTCCCTTCTAAACAAACCGGACTACAGTAGGGGTCTGTTTGAGTACGCCTGAAGACAGTCTGAGAGTACGTTGAAGAGCTGTAGAGCATCAATCAGCCCAAAAAATAGTTTGGGGTGTCCTTCTTCAAACATCATGCACCATTGATAAAAACTACAGTGTCAACCAGATCAGCACTTGGAATTCCGGTGAATTGCCTCAGGCTTCAATCCAGGACACTGTCATGAATCAATGTATGCGTCAAGGAAACGAAACACATACGGTGTGTATGTTAATTAGGAAGACCCCCGACCAATGAGTTTGATATGATTCCTTGTTCCAGAGGGTCCCCAAAAAGGTCATAGGTCCACGCCGTTGACAGTCTTCGGTCGCCTCAAAACGCATCGGTCTTGGTTTCGGTGGGACGGCCCCCTGAGGAAACGGTCAAGCCGCCCGCCGCCGGAAGAGGCTCGCAGAGGCTCCGCACTCTTCGCTGAACCACATCTCGCGGGTCACGCCCTGGCGCCGCAATCGCTGTTGTATGAATTCGGCAAGCGAGAAATTCCCCAAGGAACCATTGAGAAATAGGAGGGGTCAGGTCTCACCCATTTTCTTTGGGTGTCCACCTTTAAAGTCAATTCTCCTGTCCATTCACACCAAGGGTTACTGTGAATTTTGGCGGCACACATTGAGCGAGGGTCCCATGGTCAAATGTTACCCATCTTAAAACAGAACAGCGAAACTGGAAGAACATTGCAGAATGCAAACTCTGGCATTTGCCATGTTTGTTTCACAGGCATAGAAATGTCATTGGGACTGACTGCAATCTGAAGATACTCCTCTCTATTGGTTTGGTGGTGCCCAGTTCCAAACAAGCGGGTTTCACCGTTTCTTTAAATCGCTCGATCACGGATGTTCAATCAGGAAAACGGAGAAACGTTACGCGGTATACATTCAATTGTAATTATGATGCTTCGCAGAACGCTGACCATGGACTGGTCCATGTTGAAGTCATCAAACGCGAAATTGTTGAACTAGAATCAAGTGTGCATATTGTACTGACTGTAGTACTGCAATATATACACTGATACAACCAGTGTGTAGTCCAACCCCCCTTCCCAAAACATGGTTTTCTTGCTTGCCTAGGTGGTTTACAGCAACTATTGTCTTTGAAAACACAGAGCTCGCAGGAGACCAACGTGCATTTGTACTATAATTATAAGGTCAACCTGGTATTAGGGAACCCCCCCTATTAGTCTACCCAGCGTTCCAAAGGCAAATCAAACAAATTGCTGTTTTGATCTGTTTTGCTCAAAGGTGTTGGTGCTCGTGGTGCTTGTGTGGCTGTTCTGTGTGCGGTCAGGTGCGCCTAGGACACTTCCAAGCAAGAAAGAAAGAAGCGAGCAACCGAGCAGGCAAGGAAGCAAATAGAAAAACATAGAATGAAAAACTAATTACCTGAAGCTATCCCCATCCACTCCAAATGCACTGGTAGGATGACTGGGTCGGGGTGCCTGACGAGGCATCCCGCGCCCACAGTGTGTTGTGGCTACATTTCTGGTGTTATAATTATGTGTTACTGCTTGTTGTTTGCTGTCATGTAGGGCCACTGGCAAATGGCAAAATGGATCAAATTTAATTAATTCAAACATGGCGCAATTCCGGCGATAATGTCATAGCAGCAGCAGCAGCAGCAGCAGCAGCGACCCCAGCTGCAAGTGTCGACTCGTCTTCAGACCGCATCGCCCACTTATATTTCTCCTTCACGTTCACTGGTCGCACAAACGATATATGAATTCTTCGTAGCCTTTTTGGAGTGCATGAGCCAAACAACCGTTCGCTGCACCCCACAGCCAGAACCAAAAAATACCCTCGGAGCCTCAAAGAAAGCACGCGCAGCATCACGCAAGCTGCGTTCTTTGGACCCGAACGACCCAACGAAGGGCAACTTTTGCCTACATTTACCAACATCTAGCAGGAACGGTTTTGGATACATGAGCCTCTATAGGTGAAGGAATTTATTCACACATCTTATCCAATCATGTTCTGCAGATGCATGTCAAGCGTTGACCTCCGGTGCAGTGTAAAGGAATTCATCTTCGGCCTCTTGAAATGACCGAGTCGATGTCAGCTACATCCGACACGCGAGACGAGGTCTGCGAAAAGCAGCACCCGAATGCTTCATCCACGACTTGGGTTATTTTCTCGAAGGAATTTCACTCCACCAACATCCCAAGATGGTCGGAAGAATCCTCTCTCCCTGCGACATCGGCTCGCCGACAGCGTCGGGTGGGACGGCCTCCTTCTTACCTCGCACCTTCTCACCCTTCTCCTGAAACGGCACGGGCGAGGTGTTTGACACATCGACGGAGATGGGGAGCAGATGAAGGAGCTAGAGGTTCTCCCAAGCCCCATGGTCTCGAGTTCGAGACTCCGTAGGGACCAAGCCGACGTGCGATCCGGGTCGCCCAACCTTCGCCGGATGTCGGTCACACACCGCCGTCCGAGGCACCAAAAGAAGGGGGATTGGAGGGGGGTCGGAAAAGCATTCGTCGGACAGACCGACCAAGGCGGAGGATGGTTCGTCGTTCTTTCTTCGTGGGCATTGGTGGACAAATCAAATCACAAGCCCCTCAAACATCTTGCGGCGTCTTGCGGTGCTTGAAGTAAGGTCCATACGCAGTTGATGACCCGTCACCAGCAACCCTGTCACAGATGCAAATCCAATCCTGGTGTGAGTCCCATCTACCATTGTCACTTCTGTTGTTGCTAAGCAAAAAGGTTTTCCTCCTTGATAGCATGAAGACAAAGGTGTCCTGCCCTATAGAAAACAAGGGACTGTTTGACTGTTTGATGATCAGTAGCAACCATCTGAACTGTCTACAAGTATCTAAAAGTAGTCTTTGAACTTAATTTCCGGAGGATGGCATTATAGTTGGTTCGGTTCCAGCATGTTCACATACAACCTACGACAGTTCCAAAATACATTGGCGGTGTCCAACCAGGAACCTTGTCTTGCTTTCTCTCTCGTGCCACCTGAGAGGGTCTTAGCGCAGATAAATATAGCGATTGGTAATTACATAATTAAGAATCTGAGCACAGACATGGAAGCGCCCGCGACAGAGTATTCAATACAAAGGAGTTTCAGTCTAACCCTGACCAAAATACAAAGCCAAAAATCAGCCCAGTTCAACCAGACACAAGTGAAACACATTCTCAGTCAAGAGGAATGTCTTCATTCCTCGATGCCTTTTTCAGGTCTCAAGACCCTTGTCTGGAGAAAGTTCAACCTGCAAAATCATGGTTATGCTCTTGACCGTCTGATTCCGGACAGAGATTCAGAAAGGCAGAATGTTGAACAAAACGGCTTGATGAGGTTCTCTCCGGGTCCAAATTCATAGAAAAGATACACATATTACATCATATTACCGTACCCTTCAAACATGCCACAACCACATCCCCAAGACTTGTGGAATGCTATGTGAGTTGGATACGGGTGTGTATTCACCCAGGCAACGACCCCCTGGAAGAAGGACCATAGACCAGTCTACCATCCATCAACCAGGTTGGATGTCCCATGGAAGGAGAACCTTGCCACATGGAACAAAAACCAAAGACCAACAAAAACCAATAGATCCATACCACTCGGACTGCCCGGAGCTGCCCGCACTGCGCCTTCTTAGCCTCTTCGTCCGCTTGGAAGTCTCGAACCTGCGCCGAAGGCGTCGAGCCGGGTCGACCGGTTCAGCCGATGGATTTGAGTTCAACCACCGTGTTCACCCGAGAAGTTCGACCCACCATCTCCGCTCGAATTATACAAACCTGTAGACGAGCTTCTCATCCTGAAGCTTCTCTGCGCAATCATCCTGTGGAGCTTCTCTGTGCGCCATCCACAAAGCAATTGAGGAAAACCAATTGGAGCTTCTCTTGCACACACGATTAGAGAGCCAATTGGGCGTCCCAACAGAAAAAACGGAACTGGATTATTCTCTGATATATATATATATACATTCACTGCTGATACTGGCTGCTACTAACATTATCGTTCAATTGGCTATATTTGACAACTCCTTGGACTCAAGCAGTCTACTGGTCCTCCGGACTCTCCCGCACCCTTCGGCGCTTCGTCTTCTGCCGGAATCGCTCAGGTCGTCGGTCGCGGGAACACCTCGTTCGTCTTCACGGTCCGCGCCTTCTTCATGAACTTCGCATACTCCTTGTTGGTGTTCTCATCCGGAATCCTGTACCTCTCTTGCACTGGAACTTCCTGGCGACCGGTCGAGTCTAGACTCCGGGGCATCTTTTGGCGCTCGGAAAGAGCTCAATGAGAAGCTGGTCTTCGCGGTGTCTTGCGAATGCAAAAGATTTCACATTGGGCCAGGCCCTGTTTTGCTGAGTTCGCACACTGGAGTCGATGGTCTTCTTGGATATGCTTAAGGAACCTGAAAACATGTTCCCCAAAAGGAGATTAAACCATTATAGGTATATTTTTGAAAAACAAACAAGAAGCAAAACATGCAGAACGAGGTTCTGGTGCACCGGTCTTGGAAGAAAACAGTTCTCTCATGGCGCCATGAGATCGATCGGTCCGACAAAGATCTGATCCTGAGAGAACATCGAGGGTGTCAACAGAAGAGTTGTCCATCAGAATGACTGCATCAAGCCCGAATGAAGCGTGAAAAATCTCCAACCATGCCATGCTGTGCCATGCTGTGCCCGCCTGCTGCGAGCGAACAAATGTCATGTGAATAATTCATCATAATTCTCTCTGTCTCTCTTTCTCCTGACGGTCTGGCCTTCCACCACAGGTGGCAAAGGATCTCACTGGTTTGGTATTCAGAAACAGTTCTTCTGTGCGTTTCGCTGATTTCAGCCACACTGAAACTTTGAGATTCTTGACCCTCACAGGTAGAGCTTACCAAAAAGACATGCAAGAAAATCCGATAAGAAAGGATTTCTTCATGTCTCTTCAGACTTTCTGAACCTGGCTTTTTCAACCCGCCTCAAGCCAAAACCTCAACGACACCCACTTAAGGGGGGGCGCTCCAAACACCCATTTGTGTCACTTCCCCCACCCGTGTAGATACGGACGGGACGGTGCTCCGGGACTGTGCTCCGCCACCACCGCCCGTCCTCCAGCTGACGACGGCTGTTGTTCAGCATGTGGTCCGGCAACTGGAGAACGACCGGCGACCGGCTCTTGGGGTCGTCACAGGTGCTTGGTTTAAAGAGTTTTCTTGGCTATTAATGCAGACTATATAATATGCAATTATAAACAAGTATAATTGATAATATATATATATATAATGATACCAAAATAGAGCCTGAGTGAGCTCAAATTTTGAATCACCAACCCCAAAATATTGTCTTTGTGTATCAAAACAGAGGTTGAATGGGTTCTAGATAATATAACTATAACTATAACATATATACCTATATAGCATTATATAATAAATGATGAACTGCCATGACCCGCGATGTGTGAAGAAATCGATGGTCCATTGACCAGGACGTCGCTTGGCAGACCATGGCCGTCTATCAAATATGAGGATGTTTCACCAAATCATGTAGCTCTGAGATCTCTTAGTGGAAGGGTAATCCCACTAAGAAAGTGAAGATTGCTTGCATGAAATCATCAGATTTCGACCCAATTTCAGGGTGGCGCGGTAACGGCGTCTCTTTTTTTCATCTAAAGCACTTGCTGAAGAGTATCAGTGCAGCTGGGAACTATTGAGGCCCAAGAAGAGTCCACCCCAAAGACAGAAACTTTGTCAGCTGACCTTTTCCAGACCCAAACAATTCGTGGACCTTCTCCACCGACGGAGAAAAACGCGCCCGACACCTTTCGGGGATCCGGGGTCCATCGGCGTCTTCAAACCCATTGACCATTTGAAGGGTCCGGATTCTTACGAAACGTCAGAACCAACCCTTGAGCCCCCCCCAAGTCCGCCGCACGTCGCTGCCGCGCCACTGAATGCATGTGCAGACATCCGTGGGCCCGCCCGCCCAAATCAAGCGGATGCTGGAGCCACAGGCGGGCCTGGAAATTGGCTAACTCGGGCATCTTGGGCAGAATGTCGCGCCACTCCTGGCGGTGGCGGGCCTTAAAAAAAACTCGTGTGGGAGCCACCTCGCGCGGCCTTGGTTTCTTCTGAGATCGCAAAGGTGATCGTGATGCTTGAGTGGCTTGAGCAACGAAACCACGAGCGTCACAGACAGGACACAAGCTTGCTTGTAGAAAGCAGTCCCAGACATTCTGAAGAGACATGAGCTTGCTTTCGGCATCTCCCAAACACTCCATGGGACTGCCAGATTTGCCGATCAGTTGGAGTGGTTGACCTGGGGTCAGGCCTTCCAATGCCGGTTTCTCAATGAAGTCGATGTCTCAAGTTCTTGAAGATCCAACGCCCGCATGTCACCCTCGTCGACCGGTTTCGAACTCACCTCTTCATCACCCACGTCGATGGTGTACCTTGGCCGCAACAAGCGGTCGGTGCGGATCACGGATCGCTCGGATCTCTCATGCGGATCGCTCGGATCTCTCATGCGGATCGCTCGGATCTGCCAGGCAAAGCACTTTAGAGCAGGTTTTTGGTGGTTCCAGTATGTTCCAGTGGTTCCACTTCGACTTTTTCAAAGGAGGAAACCCTGGCGAAACGAAGTCCTGTGATCCACTGGGATCCACTGGCCCTATAGAGGACCGGAACACGGGTCGCCCGCCTTTCGGACGGTGGCACCGGAACCGGTCCCGCGACTTCGCTCGCCAGCTTGCCAGCTCGGGGTCTGGGCATCCCGGACTCCACACCCCAATCCTTCACCTGTCGGTTGAAGCGGATGCGTGGATCAGTGTAAAGCTCCGGGATCGTGGCCTCCAAGTACCTGGACCGCTTTCGGCACGAGGCACGAGGCGTGATTCTCGGGTGGGTTCGTTGAGAATGAGGCGAGGCGCAGCATATGCCAGTCCCATGGAGTGTGTGGGGTGCTCCAATTCCTTTATCACCTCCATCTGGATCAGTTGCCTGGCTCATCCCTGGCTGATCCGGATGGTTTTTCGCTTCACCCGAAACCCACGAGAGACGTGGGTTCAAACGACCCTCATGAGGGGGTTCAAAGACCTTGACCTGGTCGGAGGCTCCAGATCTTTTGAGAATCTTGAAAGGTAGAGGTAGGAGCAAGGGACGCTACTAGGAGCAAAGGGCATCGCTACTAGGAGCAAGGGCCTTACTACTAGGAACAAGAAGCTAGTAGAAACAATAAGAAGCTATAGAATTTAATTTGAATTCAGTGTAATTAGAAGCAAAGGAGGGCTCCTGGTTGTAGGCATATGGCCTCTTGGACCTTCCAAAAGACGGTCCTATATACATTCCATATGGCATCTTGGTGACCCATTGGAATCTCATTGGAAGGTTCGTGGTTACCACCCATTAGGCATACCTTTGTGTTTTCCTGGCAGAGGCGACATGAGGCGACCTTGGCCAGACCACCACTTCTGAAGGCAGTTTCCTGGGCCTAAGTTCATCTAGGTTCTTGAACAACTCCCCTTAGGAGGGCGCCCCAGTCTGTTCGGCTTAATTCAAACCTCAGCACATCTCAGCACCCGGTCTGTTCCCTCCACCTGAATTGCTGAACGTCCGTTTCATCTGCGAAGGTCGGGCAACACAGATACGCGGGGTGTTTTTGGGGGTCCACAAGATCACCGGTTTTAAGGTCCCTCCCAAAATATGGAACTCCCCAACACCCCAGGAGTTTTGGTCAAAACATGACGTATTCTGGACGTGACCCCTGGATGACGTCCGATGAGGTCGACCTGAGGGTATCCTTTTCAACTGCAGTCACCATGGAAGTGGAGAAAGCACCTGTTCGCACCTCTGAAGTGAAGAAGTGACGAAAGTAGTCTTCCATGTTGATTCGAGCTCGAGGGACATTCATCTGTACATCTTGGCCCTGTTCTTCCACGCTTTTTTGGGAGGCCCTTGTGGCCAGCGAACTCCGTGGAAATTCCTGGGCGGCCAGCTTTGTCCACCCAGGGAGAAAGCGCTCAATTGGTCTGGAGGATACTAGCACGAGGCACCTGGCACGCTAGAGGTGCACCCCATGGTCTGATGCCCTTGAGCTAGCAAAGTCTGGGATGGGAAAGGCTCAACTGGTTGGCTCAAACATCTCTCCGGTTAGTCACGAGTCCGTCAGTTGAGTCCATCAGTTCAGTCTGTGTTGAGTCCGTCAGACTCTCCATCCCAGGCCCTGGAAGGGACGGGATCCGCCTAAAGCGTTGACCGATCAAGACGCAAAAACTGCACGGCCTGCACTGCCTGCACCACGTACATCATACAGTAAAATATGTTGCACTCATCTTATGTTGCATCTTGTTCAATCAGATGTCAGATTTAGTGATCTCTCAGTTAAAACATATCTATAAATATAAATATATTAGGATTAATGGAATCACTCCAGACTGCTACCAGTCAGCAAACAACTTTGCACTTCATGAACAAAGAAACCTGTCCAATTTAAACTGAACCACCTGAGCACACAGACTCTGTATCTCTGCAACGTTCCCAAGTAAGACCCAGGCTTCAGGACCCAAGGCCCATGTTTCTCCATTAAGCTCTAGTCTCTCTGACTCCGGCATTCAGAGAAGCCAAAGCTTGATCCATCCCTCCAAATCCAAAAATTTTTAGGAATCCACTGCAAGCGATGACATGAGACTAGGTTGGAGGCCATCGCTAGGGGCGGTTGGAGGCTACTGGAGAATGTTTGAATAGGGTGACTGGGTCCCGTTGACCTGCAGGGTCGGCTTGCTTGTCGGATCCGCTTCGCCGCTCCAGTAGCACCTCCTCCACCTTGGCGTCCCGCAAGGGGACACGCTGATGAGCTTCTGCAGCAGATGGCCTTGGTAGAACGTGTCAAGGTGGACTGGTTTTCAAACCACAGCTGTTTGTATTCGGAAGATGGTCATCCGACCAGTTTCCACTTGGGTGGTTTCGAGTCTAAGAATATCCGCCCATCTCCGCCCTTTGGACTCATCTCCGTTTCGGAACCAGCACGTTTCGGAACGAGGCCCACGAGACTGGACGTCGCACACTTACGGGGTAGACTCTGGTAGACTGGTCGACCGGGGCTTTCTCCAAATCGACTAGGGGGTTTTCCCTGGACGCTTTGGGGGGCCCACTATCCGATCTCCAGACAGAACTCCTAGGATGGATGGATGGATGGATGGATGGATGGATGGATGGATGGATGGA